ATAATTCCTGGTCTAGACTCTGAGGAAGGCTTCAGGTCAGTTAACGTGAGACCTATAACGCAATAGCAGTGAAGATACGAGCTTCTGTGAATTTATGTGCTGTGTGTCTGTCAGTAAACTCATCGATTACGTGTTTACATAATGCGGTCTTATAGCCCTTCGTTTTAACCGTCTCGGATTAGGCAGTGTGAGTGGTATCCACACTTCTTCATGGCCTATATTCTCATTTCATGTTGTCATGGCGACGAGTAGGATGATGGCTGTTCCCTGGGACGTTTCGCCGTATAGTCTGATAGATATTGACCGACGTTTCAGAGTTGTTTACTGCCTGCGTCATCAGGGCAATGGATAGTCGTCGGTCATTGTCTACATAGCGTAAAAGTTAATTGTTTTATATTACGCGAATAATTAACAAAACAGATAAACAAATTCATGAAGATAAATGTGGGGGAATTATAATCAGTCTGTGGCGTTTTCAATAAATTGTCAGGTCTCAGCAAATTTAATATAAAACTAGAAAGTCACAGAAAAACATGGCAGCAGTAATCTGGAAGTCAGAAAACGTATTTCGGATGCCATTAAAGCCTAGCCCCCAACATATACGTAATTTATCTGTTGGTGAAGAATCCACCGCTTTTGTGGAGGAATTGTTATGTGGGTCAACATTGGCTTTGATAGGCAGCCCGACGGAAGTGACACACGTTCTTGTAGGTTACAAGCGTTGCCGACAGCCAAGATGCCGGGTCCATCTGTGTGACGTCACACCTGTGCGTGGAATGTAACCCTACTGAAGTAGGAAACAGTGAATTACAGGTGGGGCGACCCAGACCGGAACAGGATTCATGCCCTGTGACCATCCCAGCCCGCGTGATCGCTGCATTCCTTCACCGTGTTATTTAAAAGCGAGCAACTACGGTTCTGTGACGTAGCAGCACTGCCGTCCAGGGTTTCGTTCTACGAGACTCGGAGAAATGTGCAGCTCACCGGGTTTTAAATCGTTAACCTTACGAAGCCAAAGCAGGTCTAAATTATATGTAAAGATTCGGTCCGTACCTCAAAGAAAACACAACACACCTTCGTCTTTTACCCGAGTTCACAGCGTGAAGACACCGCGGTTTTGAACTTTTCAAAATACCAGCTTCTGATTCAAATATCTGAAAATGCCACCTGTATCAGATTCAGATTTAAATCAGAGGATGAGTGAGACATTTGGCCGAAGGAATTGTAAAATATCTAAACTCCTAATCACGAGACAAGACACCCGGGAGTAAGCCACTCGACGCCGAGACCCTGGCGTCGAACTTCCCAAAGTTGAGATCTCTACGCCGACGCAGATGAACGATAATCGATTCTCGACAACTGTCGCCCGGACACCGACACATAACTCGGAATAAAGTATTTATCTGTGACAAATGCTCGTCGAGCGAAAAATAACATTAAGTCAAGGCCGTAGCGATTTCAACTATGTTTAATCTGCAAGAATTCAGTGTTCTTGTCGGCTTCCTGGCTCTTTCCTTAAATGTGTTGACGTTTTTAGTACATAGATTTATGTTTTATGTGGAACATCTTGTATAACAACACCGTCATATTCCCTTCTGCGGTACTTTGCCCCGCGCGTGTACCTGCCGTGCTGGAAACCCCACAGATTTGTTTCCGCGTGGCTCTGCATTGAAATGAAGAGAAGTCCGATATTCGATAGCCGAACTGCTTCCTGGGACTCCCCAATTGTGTACGACTTCACTTGTACAACCGGAAAGAGTTGTATTGTCATTTGTATTGTGCTGTAGTTTTTCGTATTGGGGAGAACACACGTGGATTTTGTTACCATTTACCCGATCTGATCATTTTTTGGTCTTCAAAACTTCCTGTTAATTCGCATACGTGCTGAATGTGTGCCCCCTCCAATTCGTGATTCAACTACAGAATTGAGTGTTGTGGGTTGTGACTGAATTACTTTCGTGAAAATGTGTATGAATATCGTGCATTTTGGGACATCTTATATCTCTTGTCTTCAGTTTCGAGGCCCCGTGAAATTGTAATGCAGAATGGTTATTCAGTCAAGTGTCATGATGATAACTAACTCCTTGGGGCTGTGTCCTTAGTGGGAAATTAATTTTGCACTCACTTGGTCAAAGAAATTCCCGGTCTTTTATGGAACCGGGCGGTACATATCATCTTCACATAAGACCTCCACGGGTGGTGTTATTTATGGCGTGGTTCTTCTCAGTCCCTCCAGTCTAACGCCACTGTAGCAACAGCAACATCTTGAATCTCCTTTCTTCCCAATTAATTATTCAAATCCTGTTTTTTCGAAACATTTTTAACTTGTGTAATTGGCAGAACGTAACTAAACAAACAACAGTCTGACGCTAGTTCAATCGAGCTGAGTCCAGAGTTGCTTAATTTAATCTTCGTTTTATCTTGGCAGGCGTTGTCACACTTGTCTGCCTTATCCGAATACAAAGGTTCAAGAGTTTATTGGTGTCATGTGATGTCAGAAATCTTTCGAAGGCTGAACGAACACTTCACTTAAGCCTAAGCTCCTCTGAAAACTTTTATTCGTATCAGATGCTTATTAAATTTCTGTTCGTTGGTATATTAATCCGCTAAAACCCAGTGGTAAGTATATGTACCAATTGTTTTAACAGTAAGTAACTGTGTATTCTGTATTTGTGTATTTCGTTTGATTCTCGGTGTGAACAGCGATTATCTCCTTAAACAGCGTTAACTAGTTGATCATTCTAATCGTGAAGTGTTGTGTTTACTTCGCGGTACGGCCTGAGTTCTTATTACTCAGATGAGCTTCGGCTTCGAAGTACAACGAGAGATCGTAGCACTGGGCGAGCTAGGAACATGACGAAAGTAAAGTGGATTTAGGAATGTGACCTGAAATGGCGTTAACGCGTGTGTCGAATGCTCTGTTTGCGATGTTGCATCGGTCATTGATCATGGGTTAATTTATTACAGATTGAAGATCAATGCTGTAAAACCAAACAGTCACACTGCATAGTTTCAGAAATTGTTTTCCTTGCATTTTTGTTAAATATGGAATAAATTACGTGGAAAAACATAGTTTTATACAAGATTTTTGTTGATCATGTAGTTGAACCTGACCTCCGTGTAAAATAGCGCCTACACTGAACCTCTGTGAAACTGAATTACATTCACCCTACGAAGTTTAGTGTATACGCTAATACCAAATTTCATCGAAATCTGTCTAATAGTTTCGAGACGACATGCGGACTTTCGAAGACGAAGACGCTGATTTGTATTTGCCTGCGACGCTAAGAGACAAATGACGTCGAACTGTGTGGCCTTCATATCAGGTTATCAGTGATCAAAGGTTAGCAGGGTCTTATTTTTGTCATAGTTTCTGCAAACGAGGAACGACAAATTTTAACGAATTCTTTTATCTGTCAGAGGTTCTCAAACACTTTCTCTGAGACATGTTCTTTGTGAACAGAGTCCTTCATAATAAACTAGAAGTACGCTCAGCTAGTCATGAAATTCCGCGCCTTTTATGGACCAAAATGTTTATTATCGTGTTCACAAGCGCCCGCCACTGATCCCTATTCTGAGTTGGATGACACCAGTCAACACCCTTTTTTTTAATATTATACTCCCATTAACGCCTCGGCCTTTCGAGTGGTCTCGTCCCTCCGGACTTCCCAACCAATATTTTGTACGTATTTCTCGTCCCTTACGTGCCTATCAGGTCCAGATATTATCTTAAGCACCCTGTTCTTGGATAAGCAGCCCTGGACAGGCGACAGTGGGTGGTCTTCAAGCTTCGAATTTGGTGGGGAACAAACAACTCCCACCAAAAGCAATCAGCATCTTGTAAAATGAAACATAGGTCCTCTGACGTTTTATAAAAATATTACCCTAATTAAACTGTGGACTTATTGAACTGAATGCATTCAAACACAGGATGATTCAGAAGTCTCGTAACCCTCATGATAATATTGCATGTATGTCTAAGAACTGTGTGATTATTTTGTGGAAACTTATAATGCAATCGCCTCGAGCTTTCCGCTTACCTCCGTGTGTTCGTGCTATTTCGAAAGTTTTTGGAATTCCTCATGCCGGTTGCCTGATATTAAATTTACTTTTTCCCATTTTGTTTAAAGAAACGAGCAATATACAATATTTTATGTGGTAAAGGAGAGGGGGGACGTACGGAAATTTGGAGAAGAAACCCCTTAGGAATTGTTTTTGAAGTATATGAGTGAAATTATTTTTCGAAATATGTTTTACGTTTTGAATTGAATGCTTGCCCTTATAGTTACTCCCACTAAGCCTTTCGGTTTCAGTATCACAGACTTAGCTATATAACCCTTTGAAGCCCGAAGCTCATCCACATTAATATTTAAGGATTCAGCCCGTACCGCGAAGAAAACACTTCTCTTCACCATTACAAAGATCAACTGGTTAACGCAGTTTAAGGAAATGATCGCTGTTTAAACTGAGAATAAAACGAAATACATGAATATAAAATGAAGAATTATTGATTGTTAAAGCAAGTGGTATATATAGTTACCATTGGACTTTAAAGGGTATGTACTTTGGGGCAAGAACGTAAATTACAAAATTTAAAGAAAGTTTTCAGGAAAATCTATGAACCTAAGTAAAGGAAAATGAAAATTTTAGAATAGAGTCCCTTTTGTGACGTGTAACCTGTTTTTAAACGGCGAGTTGAGAGATCAAGAAAGAGATGGTAGGATAACATTCAGGTGGAACGTATTGAGATGAGTTGGCAGGATCGGAAGTGTTTGCGACTGGCTCAAGATCGTATTTAATTGTGGAGTGTTTTGTTTCCTACCACGAAGTCAGTTTAGTTACTTGTCGACCAAAAATGGTTTACCCTGTAATTTTAAAAAATCTTTCGTAATTACGCGGAAGTCCTGTTTTCAGTCAACGTAGTCCTGTTTACAGGCAGGCTGAAGTGTTTATGTCCTGTTTCAACAGATTATAAATGAAACTGCAATAATAAATCTTACCTGTTCTATTTTACCATCGTTTTCGCACCCCGCGTCGAAGCTGCCTTCTTCTGTTTTATTCTGGAAACAAAAATAATAACAGTATTAATACGAATTGAGGAGCCTTTGTGGTGGTGCTAAGGTTGACTGGTTGGTTATCTAACAACGCTGTCTCAACAGCAGAGACCAACAGAACAAGTGCTAGAGGTTCCGAAGATGAATTACGTTTTATGTCCCCGTGGCAAAGAATAGTTTCCATTAAAATCAATTTACGAACAATTACAGTCGGGGAAGATCACACATTGAACACAAGACGATACTTGGACTTAACGGGAGGAAGTAATATGACATTGGAGAAAATTACACAATTAGTAACATCATTATTTTTCCTGGTCTAATTACTTCTTGAGAAATTCGTAGCACTTTCTTGTAGTCAAGAAATGTAACGTATTTACGTGGAAACGGAAGGTTCATTATCGTGTTCAAAAGAGCACGCAACAGGCCCGTATCCTGAGCCATCTTAATCCAATTCATACCCTTCCATCCTATTTCCCCAGTAACCATTGAATGGATTTATTTGTCTCGGGATAGGGCCCGTTGTCGGTCGGATCCTTACGAATGTTCTGATTCCACAGAAGGCATGGACGTATGGTGACCAGCTGAACGACTATCAGCTCCTGCAAGATTTGTAGAGCAAATTTCCCCCCCTCTGGTCCACGCATTTTAAATTTTATCAGAGTGGTCACGTCATCGAAAAATTCCGATGAAATTACGGAGGGACGGAGGTCCTGATAGCCTTCAGGTGTGTTTGTGCGTCGTCCAACTTCCTGTCTTCACCGCAACAGATGGTTAGCGAGGGGACAGGCCCGAAATCAGAGTAGCGACTCGGTGGTGCAGGTAGACAAGCGTAATTTCCTTACCTTTTGGTTTTGCCGCAGTGATTTTCTGGGTTTGACAGAAAACTAAGTGCTCAAAACAATATCTGCACATAACACAGAAGGTAACGAAGAAACTTGCGTAATCTTTAAATTTGTTGTTCTTCTGGGTTGTAATTCTGTGTGGATTTGAAGTTACATACCAACGGTTCTTACATTCAGGTATCTAAGTATCTTCAGCCCTGAAGATGGAAGCAGTATATTCCTCCGAAACGCACAATCGCACACAACCCAGAAGAGCAACACCCATCAGGAAGTCTTCCTCGATGTTTTTGAGTAAATTCTTTGCATGTCTTTATTGTTTCCCCAAGTGTGCGTTTTCAGTTACCCTTTCCCACGTCGATTGGACACTGTCTTGGAAGCATTGAGCTTTTAAGGGCTTCGAAGGGATTGAATTGTTCTGTTTCCAAAATCAGATCGCTTGCCGCTGTTCTGATGTTCCCACGAGTGGGGTCACTGGGAGTTCAGTGAGGTGTGATGGCAGGACAGCCGGTGAAACGGCGGACATCCGGTGTACCCATGCGACGCGTAGGCTCAGGCCATTCGATGGCCACGTAATTACAAGCGTAGAATTTTGTACCGAAATTGGAAAGGTGACTCGTCGCGTCTTTACGATCTGAACTCCCGACCGACGCATCTACAGTGGCGCAGAAATGATTCATTTTGAGGTTTTTATGAAGAATAAATGGTATTCTGTTTCAAATTTGGTTAAGACGAACATAATGGACTGTACCACCCATGGGGTAGACAATCAATCAATGTAGAATTTTAGTCGGAAAACTCTTAGAAGATAGCCTCTTTGGAGACAGACATAGATGGAAAGATAATATTAAAATAGGTAAAAATATGTGGGATGTGAAGGTATAGACTAGGTTCATATGACTAAAGACAGTTTACAGCGACCAGGTTTTGTGAACACTGTAATGAACGTTCTGGTTTCCTAAAATGAGAGAAATTTCTTGATCAGATTAGTTTTTTTATATAATCTGGAATGGGAGTCTTCTTAATTAAATTTGTTGGTGAGTGATTTACGGAAGATCAAAGCGAAGTTTTCGGACGAAACCTGTATATTTGTTTAATAAAAATGGAAAGGAAAACTCATTTGCAGAAATAAGAGTTTATTTAATAATAGAGGTAGTCATAATTAATATAAAAATTGTTTAAATCGTTAGCTTTAATCGTTTGTGCGCGGTTTGTGGGATTTTAGACATGCGTCAGTGGATGACCTTGAAGTTGGCCGTGTCCTCTCAGTGAATGCGTCCATTGAATTATAATGTGTTTCCCCACACATCTCACAGCTTAAACGCTTGTGCCATTTCGTAGGCAGTCGGCAGTTTAAGTCCCCATTGCGAAAAGTCATTACGTATGCAAAAGTGGTTTTGGTCCAAAATTCTACTTGCGTTCTTCTGGAGTCTTTCCTAGATGGACGCGCCCCACAAATTATGAACCGCGGTATTATAATTTCCGTCACATGAACTTTTAACAATTCTACACGTCTAAGTGATATTTCAGGTTCTTACGGTGAAAATTATGAAGATGACAATCTTCTGGGATGGTTATCGTCCTGAAGATGGAGGCAGTAAGCATCTCCGAAACGTCGGTAAATTTCTACGAGACTACACGGCAGACATCTTCTGCCACAATTCTGACAAGTGTAACTTAATCTTTTATTAGGGGATTGTGGATCAATGCTATGTGAATGAATTTTTCTGCGGACAGTCGTAGGTTTGTTTTGATACAGGCTAGCAACATATGGCATGCGGGCCCTATGAGGTGTATCTGTTGGTTGCTCCAGTCCGGGCATCCGGTATCGTGTTGGGTTGCTGTAATTCTGTGGCGTTTCATGATATTCCGTGACACACATTAACTCCCTTATTGAAAAACGTATTAATCGCCAACACCCTAACCACCGGTAAATAACCCATTTACTAAATAATCTTCCAGCAAACATCCATTCTTTAACTACCGAAGTAAGTAATTAAACAAATCAATAGTTGACTAAGGTGTAGTTAATCGACATTCCCCGACGAGGTACAGCATTGTAGGTAAACGTACAGTTAATCGTGGGGAATCCCCCAGTTACTTTGATTACTGTGGTGGACTTTGTTGCCATGGTTACCTTCGTTACATACAGCGATTTTTAAACGTGGTCATTTTTTTGGAGTGTTGGTAACAGAGTTGTAAACATACGCCAAAATTAATTTCGCCACGCCTGTAGTAGGTACGAGTATAATATATCGAAAGTTGATTAGAGACTCTCGGGTTACAAGTCGCGTCAGGTGGCTGAATGGTAAATAAACCATATCTTCTGACAACGTTTCGAGAACAATCTCTGCTCTCTAAAGTTCACTTAAGTGACATTAACACTAGCGGTAATTATTTGTACCGCCGGTAACTCTGTAATTTTTTCCCCACACGGGTCATTTATGGGTTCCGTATGATTATCGGAATACACAACGTCAGTATTATTTATTTAGTGTTCTGTCTGACGACAGGTCCATATGAACAGGATCCTTCCATCCTTTTCTCGGACTGGGACCTGTTCATATACGTTCTTGGCAGATGATCCAGAAGGGGTTTGCCATTGCCTTCTTCTGTGTGAGTGTGAATGGAGTAATTGTTGGGATGCCACGGAGGAAAACTCCGTGTTGCCTAGACCACGGCCGTGCCCAACACAAGTTATAAATTCGGGCATCGCCGGGAATCGAACCCGAGACCCCAGGATTACAAGACCACCGTGGCCTATTTAACGTCAGTAACCAAGTGATATTTGTCAGTGGAGACGTGTTGTGATTTCTTTGAGGTACGGACTGGGCTTGAAATTTTTTTTTTCGTTCTGTGGTTTTTCGAAGTACTGGTCTGCAGAATGTTGAACGTAATCTTCTGGGGGGGATTCCCAGTCTGAGGCAAAAACGAAATGCACATTTCCCCCTTCCCCTCTTTTTGCGTCAGGTTGTCAGGATGTTGGTTCGGCCAACCGTGAATGTCATTTCTTGCTAATCACGAACCGAGAATTGAAACACTCGTATGAATGAAAGTTGACGAACTTTTTTGTCGAGTTTTAACTCCATCATGGCCTCTTCCCGTCGGTCAAGGACGACGCGAAAACATTCTGGTCGTAAAACTGTGTCCATTGGGAGGTTCTTGTGAATACGGTGATGAACCTTCCGGGTCTGCAGTCGCTGATTCTTTAAGAAAGACGATTTTCTTGTTCAAATTTGGTGTTTACAGCGCGACGATCCGGTGCTGCTATTTGGATGATTTACTTCGTCACATCAGACATTATCGGTTCGACTTGTTTACATCTAGCGAGCTTGTAACATGTCAGGAAGATGACGCTAGGCCTGGATAGAAACGTGCAGCAGTCGCAGAATAATTATACATTCCAGGGACATTAGTCAGCGTTCAATGTTAGAGAGGAAGAAATTGACATGTAGGAAGGACGGAGGATAAACAGAGACAAGACGAAATAGAGAAAAGTGAGCCCGAAACTAATAAGAAAAATAAATTAAGGCAGGAAAACGATGGAAATTTAATAATTGTATGTTTTAGCATTTCTCCTTTTATTTTCCGGCAAATTTATTCATGTTCCTTGTGTGTTATCCCGTTGGATACGAGGATCATAGTTAACAAAATCATAAAAAGCTCTGAAAAATAATAAAAATAATTTTATAATAATTCGGAAAGTAAGGATTGATGTTATTGCCCCCCTGAGTCAAGTTCAGAATAAAATTTTTCTCGTGGCGTGACATTTGTAGGCCGGACATTTCATGTTTCTCGCTTGTAAATTATCAATTATCGCACCGAGTTTGCTTTATTTTCTTACTTTAAACTATTTCTTATACTCCACCATACTGGAACAAAATATGGTTTTCTTACAGATAACCCGCAAGCTATGAGTTTTGACCTTTGTAATTTATAAGTTAATTTTTTATTATTATTTTCCTTAAGTGAACACGTCAGTGGTACAGTGTTTTGTCTCTCTGTTATCAGGCTTTAGTAAGACCCCTTTTTATCATCATAATTCACTTACTTTATACACTGATTTGTAGGTAGAAGACATGGAAATGAGTGTAGCATTCGTTTAGACATGGCGTGGAGCGTAGAATGTGTGTCTGCACTTTCTCACAGGGAGAATTTCATATGAGTTCAGTTCATGCAGAATTGGTAAAGTGTAATTGGCAGTATGGTCAGTAGGCGTGTAGAGTATCTCCCGCCTTGATGAAGACATCACATTTTCGCGATGTAGCCCATAAACCTTAAATTAAGCTTTGGAAAAAACGAGTCTGGACGTCAGAAACACTGAATCTGTCTGGAAAAAATCTCCAGTAATTCCATAAGCAGAACCGATGTAATGGCTGTATAACAATTGCACGTGGTGTGAAGGAAATACCAGTACTAAATTTCGTTGAAATCGGTGAAGCAAATTCTGATAATTTACATGCACACGGACGGAGAGACATTACTTACTCATTACTCGTTTATTTTGTACACTTCGTGTAAAATGCGTAAGGACGTTTACATTTTAACTTCGTTTTATCTCAAGTTACGTTTCTCGAATAAATTTGACTGGTCACCTCCCCCCATTGGAGCCCCAGGGTCCATATGAACTGGCTGTTTCAACCCTGTATCATAAACAAGTTCACAGAGGTCACTCCACGCAGCACAATATATGCTCTGGTCGTTCCTCATTAGCTGGGCCCGTGTTTATGAACTCTTTATGGCGAAAACGTGCAATTTATAGTTTGTTTTGGGTGATAAAGAAGCCTATTCGGTTCACTGGAGAAAACGTAATTAAAAATCTTATACAATCAATAACGATCGGTCATAGTACCTTAACACGAAATTTAAAACCTTCAATGTGATGGCGGGAAACAGTTCTTGGGAGAATCTAATTGCGATTTATTTTCAGATAATGCGTTAAATGAAAGTTTACGTCCGCTTGTTTAATTTCCGTAACTATTCAACGGATTTTGACAAAATTTTGTGTCAGGGGGGGGGGGCCTACAATATAAGTTGTCGGAATAATATCATCTTGATTCACGCATTTCAAATATTGCCCAAACAATATTAACCTCAAAAAGAACATAATCCACTCTGTCATTTACCCTCTCGATATCTGGCTCAAAAATATTGATTCTTCTGCTCTGAATTTAGTGTTTGAGAAAATCTGTGAAAGAAACGTGCACCGCCATCTCTGAACAGTTAACGCTAACTATTCATAGGTTTTCAACAGTAGGAATTATAGGATACCTTGAAAATGGAGATGCAAGGGAGAGGCGTATAAATAATAAATAAAATGCTCAGGGTTAAATCTGAGTGACATCCGCGTCCGAGGAAAATAATGACTAGAACTGTCATGGAGGTGTCTCGCGTGATAACGAGGCCATTTTGTTACTCATCATTTAAATTAGCGGACGCCCTGACTCATTTCTTGTCTAAAAGCTGAAATGCGACGAGAGATACAGACAAGATCTACAGTACAGCCAGTGCTTAGAAAATAGTGTTCATCTGATGTGGAGATTGGCGGGGAATGAAGCACGCATGTTTCTCAAAGAAAAATGAGTGTAAGTGAAGATGTGGACTGTGCGTAATGAAATATGGGTTAGGACGGGCTGGATTAATCTGGCTATGGTTAGAAACCGGTTGCGGGCTGTTGTGAACACGGTTATGAACCTTTTAGTTCCATAAAAGTAGAATTTTATTCACTACGTAAGCGACTATCAGCTTCACAAGAAGGAGTATGCTCAGTGAAATTTTTCAGTCCGGGTCTGCAATGCCTGTCGACTGCATTGTTGAATAGTTTACCGCTGAGCTAACTCGCGCGAAATCGCTTGTATGAAAGCCGGAGGAGTGAATCCGTCAACCGTTGGGCTTATGGCTCACATGACGTCACATACACAATGGCAGGCTGGATCTTAATCAAGGATATATTATCGTCCCGCCCCCTCCCACTGTTCGTACTAAGTGGTTGAAACATTTGTCATCCTTTGCTCCTGTTGAACTAACGCTACCAAATTATAACCATTCCAGACACAGGGATTCAGCGCAGTGCTGCTTTTTCAACGGCTTCGAAACTTTAAACTTGGTATCCAAATGGTTCTAATTAGTTAGCAATGTAAGCAACTGAACAGTTGTCTAAGTTTACTATCTGGCGATGAATAGCTAACTACGTAAGTGGTTAACTAAGTAGCTAACTGGGTAAGTAGTTAAGTAACTAATTCATCTTTCCCATACCCAGCTTAAGGTAGAGTCAGTGAATACAACATTGGTCTAGCGGTTAGAACGCTGGCCTTGTAATCCTGGGGGTCTTGGGTTCGATTCCCGGCGGTGCCCGAATTTATAACTTGTGTTGGGCAAGGCTCACACACAGAAGAAGGCAATGGCAAACCACTTCTGGATCATCTGCCAAGAACGTATATGAACAGGTTCCAGTCCGAGAAAAGGATGGAAGGATCCTGTTCATATGGACCTGTCGCCAGACAGAACACTAAATAAATAAAATACATGTATTTCAGACTCCAAACTGAATTTGTCAAGGTTGATATTATTTATTTGCTTGCACAGTCCGTCTTTGGAAAAAAATCAAAATAGATGCATCATCGTTCGCAAAATCGGGTCGAACAGTGACGTTTATATTCGGGCCTTTCGTAAAATACAACTTCCCGCTTTGATACGTAAACAACCTCAGGGCGTGGATATTTTATATTCTGTATAAGAATAATTATATGTCATATATTTATTGCTTTGGTGAGGAAAAAAAATTCATCAGGTCATTAACAATTTCTTTCCCAAATCAGGAATAAATGAGATCAAAGAACGGCTAGAACAAGCTCATTAGGTTCGAATTATGACATTAAAACCTGGAGAATCGTGTAGTTATTTCATTGTCTGTTAAAGACCTCGCGTTTCGATGTGGACTCGCGGCAAAGTGATATTTTTCGATACCCAAGACGACCTTATCGGACCTTCACGTGTATTCGACAGACCTGGAATAAGGGGAAGTCTCATGTGTACTGTTTCTCACGTGACCACTGTCTCTGGAGCTCCCTGGCATGCATTTCAATCGTGCAGTAGTAGGCTACTAGAACAGTGGTACTCTCAAGTACGTCCTTTATAAAGAGGAGGACATTGCTAACCTGGAATGGACATCGCTGAGTACACTGGTCCTGGAAGTGACCATCGAGCACTTGATTGGTAGGGTCGAACAGTTCAGCCACACGGACCAACATCAGCGCCACGGTCAAGTACGGTGTTAGCATCATTCTGTGAAATGTGTAAGGACTCTCATCTTTACACTGAGAGGATTCAATGGCGGTGTTTGTCACTTGGTGATCGAGCTTCAGTTAATTCGTAATCTAATATTAAACTAACAACAACAAACATCTGTCACGCACTACAGCGTCTAAAAATGTTGACTGATCTTGAACACTCCGTTGAAAAAATGTCGCGATGTTAATTTGTTTTGCGTATAATCGACTTGTCTTGTCTCACTGGCTTCGTAACGTTGTGATCGGAATATATCTTTAGCACTGCGTTATCGAGTTTGTTGTTACCAAGGAAACCACAAGTATGAGTTGTTCTCGTCGTAAATTCTGTCGTGTATAAACTTTTTAAGTCCTTGTTTGTTTTATTGAAGTTTACGTAGACGTACACTAAATATTAAAACAAATTGAAAGATACACACGATTTGCAAATTCATGTCACTGATCTAGCGTGCCAAAAAAAATCGATCGGACGTCCGTTCAAAGATCCTTTTGTTGTGGTCTTTATATTGCACTGTAACGTTTCGGTGCAAACCTTAAATCACGATCTATGGATACATTGGCATTCTCGCCAGCCGCCGGTACACATCCTCGAGGCACGGAGATCGACACTGTACTGACGGCAAATCGTGTTGCTCCAGACACCCAGTGTCCGTCCGCACGGCAGAGCGAGAGAGAGAGGGAGGGAGGAACGCTCATCAAGGCGCGAGAAGTCACTCAGTTTGCTAGAGTTGAGTAGTCACTGACCTCAAAAGAGCGAATCGTCATGGTAGGAAGGGGTTGTGGCCGGTATTAAGGCACTACCCAGACATTTGCCTCGGTGGAACGAAATTGGTTTGGTTTTTAGCGTGCTGGATAGTTCTGTTTTGCCAAAGAATCTCGAATAACTGAGGTTAACGACGTCTTTGTTAGACTTTGCTTGGGAATTCTAAGACAGATTTTCCAGTAACGTTTCCACCCTTCTTGTGCACTGTCCATTTTTTCGTCAATCCTCTGACCTCGTTGTCCGACTCAGTTTCAAGGAACTTCGTCTCTGGAGTTACCAGATCAACACTGAAATTTTCTGTACGAATTTAACTGTTATTTGTGGCACACTCCATGGAGCTTGGTTGGTTTTTGACAAGCTGTTAGTTGCTTAGTTAACTGTTATTTGTGGCACACTCCATGGAGCATGGTTGTTTTTTGACAAGATGTTAGTTGCTTAGTTAGTAAATAATTTACATTCGTGCTATCCTGTCTGGGTTTATTATGGTTTTCTTCAGTACCTCGAGACAAATCCCGGGATAACATCTTTTAGACTACTGTACCTTGCTTCTGTATTCTTTATAGTTTATTAATCGTATCTTAAGCCACGGTGGTCTAGCGGTTAGAACGCTGGCCTTGTAATCCTGGGGTCTCGGGTTCGATTCCCGGCGGTGCCCGAATTTATAACTTGTGTTGGGCAAGACCGTGGTCTAGGCAACACGGAGTTTTCCTCCGGGAGCTTCCCCGGTTTCTCCGTGGCATCCCAACAATTACTCCATTCACACACAGAAGAAGGCAATGGCAAACCACTTCTGGATCATCTGCCAAGAACGTATATGAACAGGTCCCAGTCCGAGAAAAGGAAGGAAGGATCCTGTTCATATGTTTCCCCGGTTTCTCTGTGGCATCCCAACAATTACTCCATTTACACACAGAAGAAGGCAATGGCAAACCGCTTCTGGATCATCTGCCAAGAACGTATATGAACAGGTCCCAGTCCGAGAAAAGGATGGAAGGATCCTGTTCATATGGACCTGTCGTCAGACAGAACACTAAATAATAAATCTTATCTTAATTTACCTCTGTGCAGTCTGAGCTTCTGACAGCGTCGATAAATGAACCTTTAACAAGGAAGAAGGTTCATTGCTGTAACCCAACACTGGTCCCTGCTCTTGAGTCACATGAAGTCCTCACTCGCGTATCACATTTGTTCAATCTGATGTTTGGTTAAGTACCTTGGGCTTCACCTATATTTTAATATTATCCTCCATGTACTTACCTTTTCTTTCACACTTATTATCCTTTTATTAAAAGCGGCACGCGCTTTTCCGTGAAATGAAATTGTCTCTGACAGCGGACAATCATTGCTGTCACTCGCTGATGTCAGAAACGAAAAAGTAACACATGTACATCGCGCATTGACTGCCAGTCGTAAAATTATGTGTTGATGGAAGGCGTTTGACGACGAACATACGAGTGACGATCTGCGTCATTATATATCTGCTACTCGAGTTTGCTAAGAAATTTGACTGCAGGCTATATAACACAGTTAAACAGCATTTATCTCCCTGATGATGGAGGCAATAAACTGCTCTGAAACGGTGGTCTATGTCTGCACGGTGCACCATTCCAGATATTTGATGTGGGGTTCCCGCTTATATATTAGGCCTAACGAGTGTTAGGCCAGCGTTAGTTAACCTACTGAAATCCAGCGGTAACTATATGTACCACCTGCTTCAAAAGTCTGTAGGTCTTCATTTTGTGTTTATGTGTTTCGTATGATTCTTAGTGTAAACAGCGATTTCTTCCTTAAACAGCGTTAACCAGTTGATCTTTGTAATGGTGAAGTGTGGTGTTTTCTTCGCGGTACGCACTGAATTCTTAACTACTAGACAGGACTCGAGGAAAATCAGAGCTTAAACAGCGTTAACCAGTTCATCCTTGTATTGGTGAAGTGTCGTGTTTTCTTTGAGGTACGGGCTGAATTCTTAAATATTATTTAGACGAGCTTTGGCTTCGAAAGCGAGTACTTGATGTATCTTTCAGGTACGATAAAATCTGCATGATACAGAAGCCAGTTTCATGGTTGCTTGGTTTTATTCAGTAGTCACTTCCTGTCACACAGGAAATGTTTACGGACGACGTGGCAAAACCTTCTGGTTTATGCGGCAGATGTAGAAACATTCTGTACAAGGAGCCTTACAGTAAATTTCAATGCGTTTATTTGTTTTTATGAGACTTCGATAAAGACATGGGATAGGATAATTTTAGTGTTTCCTAGTTCTTCGTGATATTCAGGTTATCCGGTGACTTTATATTAACACTTCTAGATATTCTCCTCAGGTCACTCCCAGTCAGAAGTAGACGTATGAACATGCGTACGATTACGAACGGTTACAGAACCACGGGAATTTGAAATTCAGAATTATTTGAACGTTACCTAGAGCAGTGGTATACAACCTGGGGTCCGCGTACCCCCGTGGGTACGGTAAGACATCTTAGGGGGTACGTGAAATTTTTAAAAAATATATTATTTTATTATAAACACTGAATAATCAGTAATGTAATTTATTTAATTTATTTTAGACGTAGATTATATACTATGTATAATTTGAATTATACACCAACAACTTTGGGGGTACAATGTTGAAGAGAAATTATATCTGGGGGTACGCGAACAAAAATGGTTGAATACCACTGACCTAGAGCATCATGTATCTTGCAGCATCGGAAATTAGATGAAATAATTACTAAATTCTGTTTATTTTCCCGTTTTCATTTGATACAGTACATGGATATCTGTAGGAATGAAGTCCGGTGACCGCAGCGGCCAATCGATCAGTCAGGGAAGAACAGACATACGTCTAGCGTAAATAAAAGACATCTTTGAAATACAAACCCGGAAGGTTTGTTTACCTGTTCTTCTTGAAGCCGGTGCATCCCGTGCATGAACCGCGTAACGACATGGAAATTGAGTAAATCCGAAAGAGCAGCTGAGCAAAGTGAGTTTCGAAAGAACGCATTCCACTCGTCGTCACAATTCTTCTAGGTTCGGGGAAAGACAATAAACGATGGAAGATGGAAAAATGGCCTCTCCCAAAACGGGGAGGCTGTGTAAATATGTGGACGTTCCTCTACGCCCATAGGTGGGTCGGATCGGTCCCTGAACAAGCATCTTGACTCGGACACACTTTTGAAGCTTGTTTCAGCTGCGTGACATTATGGCGACTGACATCTGGGAGACAAAGCTCTTGTCTGCGCGTACAGGCCTATATAAAGTTTAATATTTCACACAGATTTCTCCTTAAAAAAATATGTCTTCGGGGTACGGACTGGATTCTCAAATGTTTAGTCGAGGTTCGGCTTCAAAGGTTTGACTGGTAGGGACGGAAAAGAGCGTTAGAGTTTATCAGAGTATTTTGCGTGTGTTTTGCCAAGAGTTGAACCCATTTATCAATCACGTGTCTCAGTTACTGTACCAACTGAGCTACTTTGGCTGACAGAACAAAGTTACCCGGAAAAAAGTAATAAGTAGGTACATGAGCAGTGGTATTCAACCTGGGGTCCGCGTACCCCCGGGGGTACGCTAAGACATCTAAGGGGTACGTGAAATTTTTAAAAAAATATATATTATTTTATGATAAACACTAAATAATCAGTAATGTAATTTATTTAATTTATTTTAGACGTAGATTATATACTATGTATAATTTGAATTATACACCAACAACTTTGGGGGTACAATGTTGAAGAGAAATTATATCTGGGGGTACGCGAACAAAAATGGTTGAATACCACTGACCTAGAGCATCATGTATCTTGCAGCATCGGAAATTAGATGAAATAATTACTAAATTCTGTTTATTTTCCCGTTTTCATTTGATACAGTACATGGATATCTGTAGGAATGAAGTCCGGTGACCGCAGCGGCCAATCGATCAGTCAGGGAAGAACAGACAGACGTCTAGCGTAAATAAAAGACATCTTTGAAATACAAACCCGGAAGGTTTGTTTACCTGTTCTTCTTGAAGCCGGTGCATCCCGTGCATGAACCGCGTAATGACATGGAAATTGAGTAAATCCGAAAGAGCAGCTGAGCAAAGTGAGTTTCGAAAGAACGCATTCCACTCGTCGTCACAATTCTTCTAGGTTCGGGGAAAGACAATAAACGATGGAAGATGGAAAAATGGCCTCTCCCAAAACGGGGAGGCTGTGTAAATATGTGGACGTTCCTCTACGCCCATAGGTGGGTCGGATCGGTCCCTGAACAAGCATCTTGACTCGGACACACTTTTGAAGCTTGTTTCAGCTGCGTTACATTATGGCGACTGACATCTGGGAGACAAAGCTCTTGTCTGCGCGTACAGGCCTATATAAAGTTTAATATTTCACACAGATTTCTCCTTAAAAAAATATGTCTTCGGGGTACGGACTGGATTCTCAAATGTTTAGTCGAGGTTCGGCTTCAAAGGTTTGACTGGTAGGGACGGAAAAGAGCGTTAGAGTTTATCAGAGTATTTTGCGTGTGTTTTGCCAAGAGTTGAACCCATTTATCAATCACGTGTCTCAGTTACTGTACCAACTGAGCTACTTTGGCTGACAGAACAAAGTTACCCGGAAAAAAGTAATAAGTAGGTACATTTTTTTGTTTTCCTCAGTCCCTCCAGATAAATATCGGGATATAACTTTACCAACCGCTTCCTTCCATGTCCTTTCCGATTCATTGTTCATTAATCATCCTGTCATTCTGAGCTACGGACAGTGAATCGATTTTGCTCCGACCACAAAGCGTCGACACAGACACTTGTTTTTGTACCAGATCTAATAATCCTTGGAGCATCGCCCGTATTTCGACAACCAGTCTGACTCCCTTCTTGCCACTATAAGTACCAATTTCCCACCCAATTGGGACCAGTATACCGTTCATTAAAAGGGAGTCACCACTTCATCCACGAAATGGGGGTCCTTCAATTTCTCATTTCATATGTTACGCTTTGTCTCGAATGATGGCGTTGTTGTTGAAGTAAAATGTCCGTTTCTGTGGTGAAGTTACTCCGTCGAATACCCACAAATAATATCAACGTTTTTCATGCTGTGCAGGACGTATTTCGCGTGTTAATATCGGTTTTTTCGTATAGTGTTTGTCTTATGGGTTGTAACATCTTGTGGATTTAAAGGTAGATACAAGCGTTTCGGATGTACATATTGCCTCCATCTTCAGGGATGTACATATTCAGCCGCCATAGGACAGACAACACCCTCTTCCACTTACACGCAAACTTTCATGTTCTAGATCATAGTTCTTCTACAAAATTCACATAAGTGATAGTCTTAGCTATTCACTTTCTCTTTCCTAGTAAATCCTCGGCTCATTTATAACCCTGTTATTATATTTCATTATTTTTATTCTAATCGTCTTTGTATTAGTCTTTATTATTATTATTATTATCTGTAGCAGTATCCGCGTAATTATTATAATTTTCACCTTTATTTTTGTAAGTGTTCTGTTGGCCTGTGGTAGACTGGTCATGATTAAGTACCTCTGTGTTTGAACTTGCAGAATTTGTGATTTGTGCGCCATCAGCTTCATCATTCGCAATGTGTCCACGATCGCCAGTTGAAGACGGCGATCTTTCATTCAAATCACTGTCAGAAGTTGTTTTTCTTGGAATGTCATATATTGTCAGATCTACTCCATTTTCTCCCAGATCGTGCGTAGCTGTGCTTCGTAAAAAGCTGCCCTCCAAGCTTTTATAATGTCCAGCTAGATTTACATAAATACTTCCTAGACTACCCAAGATACTATTTCTGCCACTGAAAACCCCATAGCTGTTGCCTAAAATTCTCTTAATATCTCCTGGGTTTGCATAGCTGTCTCTTAGACCTCCTAACAGTCTTACTTGTTCACCTTCTAGACTAGCATATCTGCTTCCTAGATTCGCGTAACTTTCTCCTAAATTTGCGTGGATGTCTCCTACATTCACGTGGCCACCTAAATCCACCTGACTGTCTCCTAGATTCAGGATACCATCTCCTATGTTTACATGGCCACCTAGATCCACGTGACTGTCTCCTAGATTCAGGATATCAGCTCCTACGTTCACGTGGCCGCCACCTAGATCCACGTTACTGTCTCCTAGATTTTTGTGGCCACTATCTCCTCCGCTTTCGTGGACACTCGAAATTCCGTGACCGCCTTTCATATTTCCGTTTGTATCTCCTGAACTCCCATATTCTCTGTTGTTCCGTTTTTCGTTGTCGGTGTGGTTGTAATCCCAGTAGTGTTCGCCTGATCCTCCATCTTTATCTGTCCATATTACCTGAAAAGTAAAAATCATTCTTTTAGGTAAATAATAATTGGCTGGGAAAACATATGACAAACAAAAAACGACTGTCTCCTGGAATGTTTCGACGTGTAGTCTGGTAGAAGATATCCGATGTTTCGGAGATGCTTAGTGCTTCCATCTTCAGGGCGACCTACATACTCTTCGTTGTTGTCTCATTATATGCAGGGAATCTGGAATGCCGTGTCTTTTATGTTATATGCAACATGACTGTCATTTTTCATTCATATTCGGAAGGGACCGAGTTATCTTTTTTAATTTTGGTCCAAATTTGCTGATCGTGTCCGCAGCTGTGATAATCACTCTGCCGTACAACATTATCATTCGGCAGAGCGTTATTAAATAAGCGAAGACACGATATAAACTTACAAATATTCGACAGTGTTTCCTCGTTATCATCAGAGTAAAAATGGCGAAGGACCTGTTGACTTTGTGTGACTAGCGGAAGGATCTGATGCCGAATTGCATTCTATAGTTTGTAGAGCGTCCTTAAATGCCTTAAGAAATAAATAGGCCCAACAGAATTTTTACAGGGTTTCTTAAACCAACACAAGAAATTTGTGGCAAAATCTTTACTGTCCTCAGAACACTCAGCGATCTGTCGTGTTTGTTCCTTTGTTCTCATGGTCTGGTGGTTTTGTAAACATTAATGGTTTCCTTATTTAAGTAATCCTTAGTGCCAACATAAACGCAAATAACCCTAACTACACACACGTGTATTCCCGGCTTCTTTCGAGACTTTTTGTTTTCCCCCTACCCTTACTCATGACTGAATACAAAAAACTACGACGAGGAGGGGGGGGGGAGAGGGCTCCAGAAGACCTAGATTATTACATCTCGTTAACACACCCTCCTATCCTGCACCGAGCTCCCCCAACATCCAACACCTTTCATTGCCTCGGTTTCTTACGTCACTGGCATCATTCATCACAGGAGGTGAGTGAGACTGTAGGACACAGGTTGTCCCTGCCCAAGGACCAGACGAACAGCGGATATTCGGACAAAAGCCATATCCGCCCTCAAGGACGGAAGATACACGGAAATAAATAGCCGACTGCGGATAATATTTGAAGTTAATTATACTCTGTATCAGATATTAGGATTATCAACTCAAGATGCTTAAGTTTGAGGGGGGGGCTGTAGTGCGCAAGGGAGATATGATAAATACACGCGCAATTTCGGCCAAAAACCCCGGAGAAAAGAGATAATTCGGAAAACTAAAGCTTAGATGGAAGGATATTATTAAAATGGGTGTGGAATAAATGGAATCTGAGTGTACGGACTGAATATTTGTCTCGGGATGGTGAGTAGTGGTGGGATTTTGTTAACGTGGCAATGAAAATTCGGGCGTAGGGGTACAAGAAAGGAGAGAAATATTTTGACCAGCTGAGCGACTGTTGGATTCTCAAGACGGTATGTGTGCTGTCTGAAGTTAGTGGCTCATGATACGTTTCTATTATGAGAAGACGGTATGTGTGCTGTCTGAAGTTAATGGCTCATGGTACGTTTCTATTATGATGCATAAACTTTTAGTTATTTTCTAGTGTCTTTTTTCGAAGGTTTGTTAATCTGTAATTACCGCGTTGATTAATTAACCAAAATAAAGGACGAAGCCTGACACTGAGCAGGGAGCTCTGCCCTTCGACTTTTATAGAGTTTCGTCGCCCGCAAAAAAGCGATCTCAAACACCAGAAACCAACAGATAAACAAGACCACTTAAGTAACAGTCGTGATCCAATTGCCTCCTTTCATATTCATGGCGTCCGTCGGATGTTCATGTAGTTACAGCGCCACAGTCGCGTTTCCTGTTCCGTCCATGGCTTTTAAAACAATTGCCGTGCTGTCAGCGACTGTGGGAACAGGATGATGATGATGATGATGATGTCTGTTGTCAGCTGCTGGTTACTTTTTGGTCTTGCGATGGACACGCGATTTGAAAGATTCGTGAATGTTCTTGTCTTGTCGCGAAATGTAGAGAAAGTCGATGGTGTAAGCTGGTTTCTTGGATTAAATATTGTTACGTTATTTGGTTGTTCAGAAAATGTAGTCAGTCTAATCGATTGTTAAATTTTTTGTTCTTGTTACACGTCAGTGTAAAACATCGCGAGGCACAAAACTGGTCTAAGTAGGATAATATTAAGAATTGATATTCCTTCCTCCCAAGTAAACACACAGCATCTCAGACACAAACTTGAGTCGATTAAAGAGATCAGCAAAGAAAAATTATTTATTCCGACAAGAAGATTCTTGTGTGACGGTACGAATGATGGCTTAATTGAAATTAAAGCAGGTTAATTTATCTATTTTTTTTATATACTTTTGGTTTATTTAACAACGCTGTCAGTAGCTCAGACTTTTCTGTGTCGAATAATGGGATGATTAGTGGGGAATTATTGGAAAGGATATTGAAGGAAGTGGTCGTGGCCTAACTTAAAGTATTATCCGCAAAATTCTTGGTCAGCGCAACAGGTATTCTGACCGAGATTTGAAACAGAGACCTCTGGATTAAAGTGCAAAGTGTGGTTAGCATTATACTTTAGATTGTTAAGAGACATAGTAAAAATAATTACCGGAGGAAATAAAAAAGGAAACGAGTGATTGATTAGGTGTTGTACTAGTCAATTTTTGTAGCCACCTTTGCCTTGAAGTTCCAGTTCTTGCCATGTTCATATCTGGAGATGTGGTGGTCTGGGTTCCCTCTGCTGAAACTAAATACGTACTCGTTTCTTCCAGGTACGTTGACGTACTGGAAGTAAGTTCCAGGAGGCGACGAGTGGATCGCAGGAACTGTCTTCAGCGCCGCCAACAGCGACTGCAAGAAGGACACGTGATGTTTGTCTTTTCCCACACCAGGATAACTCGGCCGTTGCAGTATCAGACGCTTAAGGTAAGACGTCGGTCAACTTGACTTCACGGCACATCAACTCAAAAGACAGCCATCTTTGTGACGAATGAGTTCGAAATCAAGGTTGTCTAGTTGGGGTCTATAGTTTAAGCCACTTTTAGGTTTATCTTTTGTTTTTTACTATCGGTCGCTGCTTAGAAAGTAATCCATACTCTACGTTGTTTGAAATGTGAAATGTGTGGTCAGACATACGGATAGAAATTCACTCTCGCTTCGTACAGTGAACGCCCGAGAACTTACAAGACTGATTAACGTTTCTTAAACCAACAGACATTACTGTGAAATGTTATGATTTCCATTGTTAAAAACCGTCAATTGTTATTGAGATTGCGGTAGGGTTAGTTTTAGCTTTCAGGAATTGCTCGGAGTATAAATGGGCATTGTTTCTTACCTAGGTAGCTTTATCCATTGTTAACACCGAAGTTGTTAATTCTTTGACGAGTTTTAATTGCCATTTTAAACGAAAATGTTATATATATTCAAATAATCACTTACTGCAATATGTAAATATCCTCTGCCGAATCCCGTCATCTTGAAATGCGTCTTTTTGAGAGTGACGCTGTGAAATCTCATGGCCAACTATTAATATATGTAGCTTGCACTAGATGTGGTGTTGCTTTCACATTCATGCTCTGATGCACTACGGAAAGATTTTGTTTTTGGTGAAGCTGTTAAACAGTGCTTATTGTTTAAGCTTGCGACCTGGTTACCAAAGTAGGCCTAGACATGTCATCACATTCAAATTGTGATTGAGATTTCACACACGCGTGTCGTTTATCGCGTGTTAGAAAGTGATGATGTATCTCTTTACATTGTTGTAACAATTAAAACTCAGAGCAACTGGCCATGAGAAGCCATGCACCGCTAAACAGACGATACGTGACAATAGCCTCGTTCTCTGCCTCTGTGACCATTAAGTTCTCTCGTCGGTGAAGATGACTATTCCTTTCGGATAAACATACTGTTTACATCGTCGGGGCTGAAGATTTACACAGTGCATCGAAATATTCTAATGGGGTGTAGCAACCTGTATTACCGACGTCGAATGGAGAGAACTGAAAATATTATTTATTAGATTCAACTGCGTTTATTATTGTTATGGCTAAAGTAATTGTTCATTATAACAGATACAATTTACAATTAAGTTTTTAGTATCGTATTTTGTAATTTCATAGAGAAATCATTTTTAAAAATGCGCATTTTACCAATGAGCTATCGGGGCCAATAGTTCTCCACGTACAAGTATAATTTGACTCCGTAAGAGGGCACGGTGGTGAAGTTCATTACTGGAGTTTGTCTGTGCTAGTTGTGTCTTACTGGTACAGCGTAGTCTTCTGTGGGATGGTGTTGACGCTGATTGATAAATCGTGTTGATATGTTTGGAAGGTTGGAAGTCCATTTTGTGCTTACATGAATTTACAAATTACTGTGTTTCAAAGTATTATTCTTAGAACATGTATCCTCGGCGCAAATAATTTTCTGTCCCATTAAATATTAATGTAACATTAAGCCTTTACTGTGGTAAGTCGATTATTGATTTTGGTTTTGACTGTCCTGTTGACAGAGCATCTGTTGTTAGACCCAATTATCTTATTACCGGTAGTATAAGCACTTAGTTTTGCATTAGAGCCTGGGTTGTTTGTTTTCGTTTTTAGCATATGAATACATTTCCATAATTTTAGAAGGTAAATATTCTATTTTCAGTGCACAAACCTTAATTTATTTAAATATGTATTTGTCTGATTTGTTATGTTGTATTTATTCTAGTGATTGTGCTGAAATGTTTAGAATAGCAGTTGAGATGTATTGGCACATGCAGTCTACATTAGAAGCATTTAAATACATTTTAATTGACGTTTAAATCTGCTTGACATGTGGAGATGTCTTTCCTTTACAGGATTCATAAGTGTCATTTATAGACATTTCCATGTTTTTTTTACAGGATTCATAAGTGTCATTTATAGAAATTTCCATGTTATTTTAGTTAAAACATTTTATGCCCTTGACATATAATGTTATGTATGCAGATATGTCAAGGAACAAACAGCTTTTTACTCAGTGTTATAATTATAATTTTGTCCAAGTGTATGAAAGATTTAAACTTTTTTTTTCTAAATTTTGTATAAAATTCTTAAAAAGACCACATTGCTTCAAAGGATGGATCTTCCATCTGTGGTCCACAGGGAAGTAATAGTATTAATTTCATATTTGTTTTGTAAAGGTATGCTTGAAGTTTTGTCATTAACCATATATTTATCTTTTCAGGTATCAAGAGTTATATGCGCAGTACGCTGGTGAATTCTGAGAGCTGATGTGAAGTGATAAACATAAATGTGTGTGAACAAATTTTAAAATGTGAAAATATTCTATGACTGTACTTTAAAACCCATACTCTTTTTTGAAATTATGATTTTCTACATACCACCAGTTCCTTGTGCCATCCTTAGTGCACTGCGATAAAGACACAGCCAAACCCATTGTGGAGTGGGAGATAAAACTCAATGTTCTGTGTCAGTGCCCTGGTCGCGGTATTGGCGGAAGTCAGCGGCAATGCCGGTAGTTTGGACTGGTCCGTTTCGGGCGCCGTGGACCCAAACACAACCTTTATACCAGTGATGTCATCATCACCATCATCATCTCCTTCTGTCACCATGGGGGTTGGTGATGACACGGATGTCACAAAATTACACGCGGGATCTGACGATTGGCCTAACGAGCCACACAACGTTTCGTTTCTTCCGGCGTTATTTGTGTCTTACTGTGCAGAGTGGAAACCGGTCAATCACGTGTATTTCCAACTGGCGAACACTTTCTTCTTCTTGTCTTACCTTGCCCCAAATGGCATGTATGGGATTTTATACCTGAGGTGTACACTTCTTGTGGGCTGTGCGTTTTTTGCCCTGTGGGGATGGGCTGTGTTATGCTGTTTCGATGCCTTCCTGTGGAATGCTACTTTTGTGGGCATAAATTTCATACACGTGTGTATTCTTCTGTACTACCTGCGGCCTGTTAAGTTCACGAGAGAGGTGGAGGAGGTAAGTAGTGATCTTATACAACTTTTGATTTACAAATTCTGTTAAGTGTTTAGACCCACCAGAGAAGAAAAATAATTTTCTCTTCAATTTCTTCTGGATTTACATGTTAGTTGTAGACGCTGTGTGCCACTTGATCATGAGTCATTTGTTTTGAAATTTTTAGTTGCTATAAATATTCTCAAACTAAGCTTTGTTTATGAGCAGGAAAGGGGAGATGGCTTGAAGTTGAAGATGTCATATTGTGTGGTCTGGTAGAAGGTTACTGACGTTTCAGAGGCACTTTCTGCCTGCATCATTAATTAATTATATTTAAAACTGAAGTAACATTAGTACGCTTCTGAATGATCTTAAAGTTTGTCACAGAAGTTAAAATATTGATTGTGATTTCTGTTCTGAAGATGAAGATGTTACGTTCCTCTATAATATCGGTACCCACCTACAATAATACGTAGCTTCACAACCCAGAAGACCGTAGTTTTCATGTTATATAATTTCCTCTGCATGAAATATGGATTCGGTCACCATTATTGTCTGTGATAATGCGATTTACATGTACTTGAAGATTGAATCTGAATTCTGTATTGAAGTATCAGGAATTGATTGGTTCTAGACATAAATAGAGAAAAAATAAGTAGTTCATTTCTTATCATGAGAATGCAATGTAAAATTATGAAATAAAAAGGTAAGTATTTTAAAAATATTGTGAAATTAGAATATTTTGGAATTGTAATGACATCTCAAAATTATATTCATAATGGAACTCAGAGCAGATTCAATTTGGAATATTATCTATCCTATTTAGTTCACACATTGTTTTTATATTTACGTATTCCATCTACAAAAGGAAATAGGGAGATTAAAGTGGACTGGTAACAAATGCAGCCTGAGGATATGAACTGGATTCAGCTGATTCTGGATATGAGACAGTTAAAGGGTTTTCAAAACTCAGTGATGAAATTGTTGTTGAAAGTATGCAATTTAACGATCAGTGACTTAAGAAAGGTCTTGCTCCATGTAGTTAGGAGTTAAGATCGGTCAGAATATGTTTGATTGACCACGCTAAACACACTTAATGACAAGAGTTCTTTTAATGGTCCTGTCATTAAGCAACGTTGATTGCAGGTTTATATGGAAATATGATTTACATTTATTATATTACATCTTTCAATTTACGTAATACTGCATGTGGCTTTAATTGATTTTTGAGCGTGGCTAACTTTTTCGGAGCTAGAAGTCGCTGACATATCGTCTTTTGGTAATGAACGCCGAACACATCTGTTCTTTGAATGTGTGATGTTGGTTCTTTGCCAGATTTTCCAGTTACGCTGCAGAGAACCAGAGTAGTGATTTTCATTTCCAGGAAATGGTGTTAATAATATCCTGTAATTGTGGGTGTATAAAAGTATTGATTTTTATTAATACCATTTTTAACAATACAGGAACATTACTGCACCAGAAATGTCAGTGTGATGACGGTAAATTTAACTCGCATCGAATGATATTCAAGTGGCGAATTCTGAGACGTACAGGTTTGTCAGGAACCGATTCAACGTGCCAGGCCATTTAGCTGATTTAATTTCAGAATTTTCAATATATGGAGACAAATTGTGTCGGTGGAAAAAATTTGTTTTTTGCCTGTTTGCAGAAAACAAGGAAACTGACTCACCTTAATTTAGTTTAGTTTTTATTGTCGTGGTTGTGTGGGAGATTGAATGAAATAATGTACCGTAAATGTTGTGTGGGAGGTAGTGAGTAAGTAAGTAATGGCACACTCAAGAAATTACAGCTCGTATTTCACGTTATTCAAGTAGTTTGCAAATTCCTTACTGTCCAGACTACACATTAAGTTATTCAGCTGTTCCAGAAATTGAAATGTCGTGACGTTTCGTCACTTTCATTGCGAACCATTTTAGTGTCCGACTAGTGCCGACTACATGCGCAGTAGATTTGGTCGAGTCCACTAAAAGAATAAGGTTTCATGGGTTCTGTGAGTTATTGAAGCAAGGCGTGTGAGCTGTGCAGATTTTAGGTTGTCGCCTGATTTCGTATCAGCGCAACATTCACCACGGCTCCCACTCCTGCCATATTTTCCCAAATGCGCAACCATCGGCCATGACAAAAAAATCACACAGTGCATGTGTAACAATGAGGAGGGAAGTTGTATTTCTTAAGCATTTTGCTACGGACTGAGACTGTGTATTCCGCGTACATCCTATTGTTGTTAGGTAGTCTGTTCGGGTAGGTTAAACAAGTAATGAATGCAACCTGTTGATGTGGAAATCTCTTGTAAAGCTTCCACTTGTAAGACAGAGTAGCTGGGAGGATAAAATTAAACAAAATGTAAAGGAGATTGGTTGGGAAGAGGTGGCGGATAGAACTAACTCAGAATGGTTTTGTGTGGCGATGTTAAATACTAGCAGTCGTCCTTTATATGGTCTTTTGATCTTTACGGCAATATCAGGAGAAGATCCCAAATTATGAAGGTCCTCACTCCATAATGCTTATCCTCAAAAAACATTTTACTTCGGGCTAGAGCTATAGACTCCCTGAAAGAAAACATCGCGTGTCTCCGTGACAGCGATCAATTGGTTAATGTGGCTTAGATAAATAATCGGTGTTGATTCTGAGTTATTGAATGTTGTAGCAGCTGGTACATATAACTTAATTACAATCGTGTTTTGAAAGGGTTAAAACCAATATTAAAACAACCAATTCATTTGAAGTATTGTATATTTTAATCTTTACGATGTTAAATGTGTCCCAGGAAGGTAACATATTTTGAACTGGCAGTATCTTGCATTCTGCGACATTTTAGTTTAGCGTGAATGTAATTTTTTTGGTTTAGTGATTTCGCTGTAATTTAAAATCAAGTCTTAACAACTACTTTGCGTGTTGTAACTGAGTCGAAGCCACACATTTCCGGGTAACATTCACTGCTTTTAGCCTTTTCGTAACTAAAGTAACCACAACACTGCATTGCAGCATAAATTTGGATTATTTAAATGTATTTAAGTAAGGAACTGCTGTTCAGTTAATTACTTGTGACAATGGTAATAGTAGTAATAATAATAATGATAGTTTCTCTTTCGTGTGGAAATGCCTTATCGCATGAATATTACAATGTGGCGTGTCTCCCGGTGAGGTAACATGTCAACTTGTCGGTAAAGTTTACCCTGGCGCCGTCGCATTGCAGTTTATTTGCAGGGGGATCAGCTGTCTGCCAAACACGCGTTTTTTCATGCTTCGTATAATGGAGGTCCGCATTCGAATCTCGACCGATAGGCGATTGTTGAAACAAGTCTCCTACTTTTATGTTGCGAGTATGTACACTCATAAAATGCGTGTTAGCATTTACGTGTTGTTAAGACGAATTAATAATTGATGCAGGAACCCTGATTTGACGTTATTAAAATTTACCGGATGTTGGTAATTTTATTTTACGTTTCGTTTTAGAGAGGCGCATCACCACGAGACAAAAACATCATCTTCTGCTTCAAATACGTATTGCTCGTCCCCTTTAAATCTCGTGGTAACTATATTTACCACATGTTTAAACAGTCAGTAACCTTTCATTTTATATTTATGTGTTTAGTATGATTCTCACTTTAAACAGCGATCATTTCCTTAAACTGCGTTAATCAGTTGATCTTCTGTAATGGTAAAGTGTGGTGTTTTCTTCGCGGTGCGGGCTGTGTTCTTAAATGTTATTTAGACCAGCTTCGGTTTCAAGGGTTTATGGCGTGTTCTGTATCATGCAGAAGTGGCATGGTCCACGTTTTCCCGGCAGCCTGGCGCCCAGGCCGTCTGCGTTACATGCAGTTGGACTCCGCCCCGCCGGGCTGAGTTCATAAATTAACTAACCAACTAGATGGCTGACGGAACCCGAAGGTTCATCACCGAATTAACCAAAGCCCTGTCCTGGGCCAACAAAATCCAGTTTCCTTCGACTCCTATCTCCCATAGATCCCGCCTGAGATTATCCTCCCATCTACGTCTAGGTCTCCCCAGCGGTCTCTTCCCCTCAGGCTACCCGGTGCACACCTCTTGTCCCATCCATGCGCGCTACATGCCCCGCCCATCTCATTCTTCTCGACTTAATCACCCTGACAATATTGGGGGAGGAGTACAGATGTTTAAGTTCGTCATTACGCAGTTTTCTCCAGGCCCCATCGTCTTCTCTCCTAGGCCCAAATATCCTCCTCAAACACCTGCAATCTGTGTTCCTCCCTCTGAGTGAGAGACCATGTTTCGCACCCATACAAAACAACAGGCACCGGTTATCAGGGTGGTAATTATTGTGTGTATCGTTGAATTTAATCCGCAGGCCGCCTGTACGTTCAAATTGAACCTCGTCATATTTGTTTGAAAATGTCTCATGTTGTAGGAATTTGTGGAATTGTATGACGTAAAAGAATCTCTTGTAACACCTGAAAAGCTTTTTGCACGTGACGAACATTTGTTGAAATGCGAGGAGAGAGAAAAAATAATTAACGACAGTGTTCGGAAGTGGGTAGCGGCTCTGTAATGCGATTATCATTCCACAAAAGATTTTTTCTACGATAAATTAACTTCAAGGCCATTCAGGTATTCAAATTAGCAGAGAGCGCACGTGGAAAGCGTGTGTATTGCGTTATAGAACACCACTTTGCGCTTATTTTATATTATGAGCGTCTTTAAATTGCTGGACCGTGTAAAGAACGCCTTGTTGTGGACATTTACTAACTCAATGGAATAGAGTTCTTCTTGAGAAGAGAATTTTACATATGCAACCCTAAGGTTCAGTGCCGTGTTCACAAAAGCCCGCCGCTGGTTCTTATCCCGAGCCAGATTAATCCAGTATCAAATTTCCCTCGCCATTTTCTTTCGATTTGCTTTGGTATAATTCTTACGTCTATGGCAAGGTCTTCCGGTGTTGGACAGAGATTTATTTGTCCGGTGAATTATAACCAAAACCTCCAGACTTAAATATCATCCGCGACTTGTATTTATTCGCTGTCCTTTGCGGAGCGAAAGCTTTATAGTTGGTCTGATTCGTTTCCATGGAAACTAATGACTTCGCAATGACATTGCTGATCGCAGAGGTCAGAGCTGCAGGCTCAATTTATAGCAACACTTCGTATTATTTATCAGAGCTAATGAAATGTTTGGGAAGTCGAGATGAATATAAAGCAGGCTAGAAAGTGTGGCTGTGAATTAGACGGTTTGGGGGTGGAGTTGTCTGTTTTAACGAGACGTGGGTTGAGGTATAGTCAGCGTAGTAGTTTTTGGGCCGGTGGAATTTTCAAGGGGAAGGCTAGGAGCGAGTCTTGTGCGATAGTATAATGCTGACTGAACGCCCAAACAAAAGAAATGCACTGACCGTGCCACCTCAGGTGCACAGAGTAGGCCCGTCCGCCAGCTCCGCTAACTTCTCCACCGGCCAAAAACTACTATAATGCGCTGTTCCAAAGCTTGTCTTGTCTTCTGCCATTGTTGTCTTATCGTCATTTCTGCTTCCTTTCTTTTCTGATCCTCGTACTGTTTATGTATCAGCTTTTCTTATTTTCCATGTGTCTCAGATACACATTTTGTTTTTTTTCTGTATTATTGTTGTTGTTCTGGTTTTGTTTTCTTGCCGAGCCATCATTATTGCGTCGTATTTGCGAAATATTTTTCCTGTCCGTCCATGGAAACGCGGAATTTTCCCCAAAATTACTTCACCGTGCCACCCCATGTAGGCGGTTTGGGGAGTGTTGACGTAGGTCTGTACCTGAGGCCTACGTGCCAGGGGAAGTCTTGCGTGCCTGAATCAACAGGTGTGAATCCGATCCCTGATTCGATTACATCGTCGGCTCACTTTTTTTTTTCAGGCCGGGAGTCGCAGTTGTGTTGGTTTAATATTGAGGTAGAATTAATTGCCTTATCTTTACATAATTACGCTTTCAACCCGTCTGGAATGTGTATTTACGCCTTTGCAGTTGATACAGTGTTCTACAACTCGTACTCCAATCGGCCGTGGCGCTACGACTTTCACGAGCCGAAGTTTCTAAACTGCAAACATAAAAAAATGTCAACAATCACTAACTCCCAGACGCTAGAAAGTAGCAGGGAAACAAAATTGAGTTTCTCATTGTTGTACTCATGAAATTAAAAACGTAAATTCTAATAATGGACCTGATTTTATCATTGTATTAAGGTTCTATTTATATAGGAACGTAAAGATAACGACACGAGCACGACACGAGCCCTTGCCGATTTTTCAGAAAATATTATCCAACGTTTTTCAATGGAACTAGGAAAAATATCGTTGGAGACGTAAGTTGGGCGAGACTCCTATATAGCGATTGGCTGTGCATGTAGCACACGCTTGAGGACCAAGACGTTTTGGTTGTAGAACCAAACGAAAATGTCACTTTTGAAGTCACCATACACTCAGATGAGATGGTCTTTATGAAATGTTTTCGTAGATTTTTACGTGTTTTTTCTATTTTCTCCTGTTAATTTGTAGGATGTGCGTTGTTGCAGGTGTACCTGGCGCTGTTTCAGCCCCTGAAAGTGACTCGTCATCAGTTCAAGAAAGTGCTCAATTGTATGAAGATGATAAGGCAGCTTAAGTACCAGGAGGTTTACGCTCAGGAAAAGGCCACCAAAGTGGACAGCCTGTCCCTCGTTCTTTCTGGGAAGTAAGTAGAACAAATGTCGTTTAGAATTTGCGATTTCGTCTTGTACATGGACGGATAGTTTCACAGAAAACCTCGTCTCAGGAAGAGAATGCCTTCTAATGATTTGTTGCCAAGTGACGTAAGCTGGTGAAGTTTGCTTAGGGTACAGTCTGAGTAAAAATGAAATAGCCATTCTATTATGTCACTTCACGTAACACAAAGCTAGAAAATGGAAACCCTAAAAGGAAATCTGAGCGTAAGGGAAAGGTAACACGTCGCAAAGTCTTTGTACGTATTGAAAGTTACTTGGTAGCGCGTAGCATCGCTTAGGAATTCTTGGCCAGACTGTACAGACATCTCTTCTTGACTTTTATCCCCTGTGGAGCCTTAGTACGTTAGCCGGGTAGCTCAGCGTGGTTACTCGACACGACCGGGGTTCCAGCTCCGTTGGATATTTCCTGAAACAGCCGTGAAGTACTGAGTTTCGTCATGGAGACGCGTTTTCTTTGAGGTACGGTCTGGAAACTACGAAAGAGCGTGAAACTCGTCTGCGTCTAGGCTCAGGTTTATGAATGCGTGGAGCTTTGCCTACACTTCGCCTACTCGCCTTTGTGGCGTGTTGCGTAGATACAGGGAGCTGTAAGCCTTGTCGCTCAATAGCGCTCCGTATATATTATGACCTTTCCTTACAGACCCGTGCCCTGGTTTTTCCAACATCTGTCCTTTTATAAAGTGGCTCCCAGGGGAACCATTTCTCTACTCTGGTGACATTCAGCCCGAATGAATCTTGAGTTTACACAAGAAATCTAGCCTTCACTCTGTGCATAGGCGTTCATGTTGTCCTGCGATCGCGCGGCGTGAAATTTATGGTGTGTTGTTTAGTACGCGCTTACCCTGGGGATTGGTGCTTTATATTACGAACTGTAATAGATGTCTCGTTCTCAAGGTAACCATATTTAATGTTTACTATGTATTGATCTATTTGCCCAGGCTGTATCGGAGGTGTTTTAAACCTCTTCAGACCCAAGGCTACGTTTACTCCTGCTTCGTATTCGGGAGGTCCCAGGTTCAGATCTCGGCCCGGAGACCGGCTGTCCTAACCGAGGCTTTTTCGTGGTTTTATTCCGCGACCGTTTCCTTTCATATCCTTTCCAAGCACTGTTCAGCGTCGTTTAATAAAGCATAAATAAATAAGTGATCTCTTCCGACTTTGCTACCGAAAGAACCGAATTTGAATTTGTATTTTCTGAAGTTACACTTCAATGTCACTGTGTCACATTTTGAAATTTCACCGCCTTCTAAATGTGTGCTCCAACCTGTCTGTTGCCTTCCGAAAATGGGAGATGGATCGACCTGGTTCACGGGTCATAATCGATTGTGTAGCCGGCTTTAGAGTCACTTGATTTTCCTGCCTCGTGAAAGCGCTGATTGCAATTTTCGAAGCGTTTCGTGTCTTTGGCGAAACCATCAACCAATCGCCCACAGTTTCAGTGTCTAGTTCTAACAGGTTTCCTTTTCTTGCGATGGAAACTTGAGATTGCTTTGACAAAGGAAACTGTTTACGTAAGACAGAAAAATTCATTGTAGAAAGAAAAGTTGATTGAAGAAGAACCACTGACCATAGTATCCATCACTAAATTGCGTGCTTCAAGGTCACGTAAGGACTTTCTCTCCCTAACTTCCTTACGCGCGGAACAAAGTACATTTGTTGCTAGCTTTGATACGCTGCGAGTCTGAGCTGTCTTCGCTCGTATCAGCAATTCGTGTTGCAGTCAACTGAATGATATACAATACAGTTTCAGTCAAGTGTGTAGAGGTTTGCGTGTCATCCAATCTGTCAGGAACTTGTCGAGAGTCCGTGTATAAAGGATAGTCCCGTCTCGAAACCTTGGCTTACAGCGGCTGTAGAGATTAATATTAGATGAGCTGCTAACAGCTTCTGCTGTTCCGTGATGCACGACATGCCAACCCCCGCTCACTGTGCGTAATCGAGCGAACTTGTCAGTCAAATACACGTTTTACTTAAAGGCGTTCATTTCCCATGTAGTGAGAACAGTTTATTTGCACGAGGTGTAATTTATGAAGCTCCGAGAGATGGCCAAGGGATCTCTACGTACCTCTGTCTGCCCGTTTGTCCGCGCTAGAATTCTACTCCATTAATCGCCCCAGAAGATTTGTTGCTGAAGGTTGCTTATTCTCTTGAAATGATGAGAATGTCTGTTTCTGGAAAGTGGATGGAGGCAGTAACCACCTCTGAAACGTCGGTCCGTTTCTACCACATCCCAGTGGACAGGCGATATCTTACTCGTCGCCTTGAGAACCCGAAATCTCACCCACAAGAAGGTCGTTTATTTGCGGCTGGTTCAGGAGATTGAACTCATGGGAAAATACGCTTAATCACGATAGAAGTCTCTGAAAGCGCCATTAGTCTTGTCTGTCCTCACAGTTCGGCGTTTAAACAGAGGTTATTGGACGCTGTCCTGTGGGAGGTGAGACAGTCAAGTGTTTTCTTCTTGGCTCTGGAGTTAATAGGAAGAGTGGTTAGTGATCAATTCGGTTCAAGGCGTGCTTAATTAGTCGGATCGCACGTTCGAATTCCACCGAGGTAATGGACGGATATTTGTCTAGGTTTTTGCTCATTCATGGCCTCCTGTTGTGTGTCTTTTACAGCCCTGAGTTCTATTCCTGGCACTGAAGGAAGTTTTCTGTTCAAAACCTCGTCCGAACAGACTCTGAGTCTTCTTCCTAGTTGATGTGTCCAGAATGTGACGCTTACCTCTCCACCTCAGTAGGACACGCAGACTACCAACTTTGACATTATGTATTCACAGTACACAGCAACAAAAAATCAATTCCTTCTATACAAATCGACATTTTGCCTGGATGGCATCCAGAAACCACTTTTAAAATTTCAAGGTCATCCATGCAGTACATGTTTTTATTACAATTTTCTGTATTTTATACCTAATTTGTTTTTATATGTAGTGAAAGGACAGGTAGCTGAGGCTTTGGTGTGTGTTAAGATGTCCACAGTTTCCCCAAAGATCCTCTTTTTGGGGTTAAAATAACGCATTCATCATTTTGGTGTTGGTGTTACAACCGGTGGCATTGTTAATGTCTTACAGATTAGTGGTGTCACAGAACGGGCGGGCTCTTCATATTGTATTTCCTCACCAGTTCCTGGACTCGCCAGAGTGGTTTGGGGTGTCTACAGATGAATATTTTCAGGTAAGAATTAGTTTCAAAACGGCCCATCCCGTACAGTTCAGTTTTTAGTCTAAATACACTTTTAGTGTCAGATGAGAGGATGGTGATGACGAACCCGAAATCTCACCCACAAGAAGGTCGTTTATTTGCGGCTGGTTCAGGAGATTGAACTCATGGGAAAATACGCTTAATCACGATAGAAGTCTCTGAAAGCGCCATTAGTCTTGTCTGCCCTCACAGTTCGGCAGAGGTTATTGGACGCTGTCCTGTGGGAGGTGAGACAGTCAAGTGTTTTCTTCTTGGCTCTGGAGTTAATAGGAAGAGTGGTTAGTGATCAATTCGGTTCAAGGCGTGCTTAATTAGTCGGATCGCACGTTCGAATTCCACCGAGGTAATGGACGGATATTTGTCTAGGTTTTTGCTCATTCATGGCCTCCTGTTGTGTGTCTTTTACAGCCCTGAGTTCTATTCCTGGCACTGAAGGAAGTTTTCTGTTCAAAACCTCGTCCGAACAGACTCTGAGTCTTCTTCCTAGTTGATGTGTCCAGAATGTGACGCTTACCTCTCCACCTCAGTAGGACACGCAGACTACCAACTTTGACATTATGTATTCACAGTACACAGCAACAAAAAATCAATTCCTTCTATACAAATCGACATTTTGCCTGGATGGCATCCAGAAACCACTTTTAAAATTTCAAGGTCATCCATGCAGTACATGTTTTTATTACAATTTTCTGTATTTTATACCTAATTTGTTTTTATATGTAGTGAAAGGACAGGTAGCTGAGGCTTTGGTGTGTGTTAAGATGTCCACAGTTTCCCCAAAGATCCTTTTTTTGGGGTTAAAATAACGCATTCATCATTTTGGTGTTGGTGTTACAACCGGTGGCATTGTTAATGTCTTACAGATTAGTGGTGTCACAGAACGGGCGGGCTCTTCATATTGTATTTCCTCACCAGTTCCTGGACTCGCCAGAGTGGTTTGGGGTGTCTACAGATGAATATTTTCAGGTAAGAATTAGTTTCAAAACGGCCCATCCCGTACAGTTCAGTTTTTAGTCTAAATACACTTTTAGTGTCAGATGAGAGGATGGTGATGACTAATGAATTGGAAAGGTTGTGGAAGGAAGAGGCCGTGGCCTAATTTAAGGCACTGTTCCAGCATTTGCCTGGAGGGACTGAGGAAAACCACGACGGAATAAGATTCCAATATTATTGTGTCTGTCCGTTCAGGTGTCAATCACTGCCATGGAAGAATCTCGAGTGTTAATTTGGCATCGGGACAAGCTGAAACTCACGATCATTACCGATCAGTTTCTTCAGGCCGTATTTGACCACATCTTAGGCCGAGATGTGGTAAAAAAACTTATGCAGGTAATTATTTGTGTTTCACGTTTTTTAGTATAAAGTTTGGGACGGTCTTATACAAAAGAATTTTCGGTATGAGATTTGAGGCTGTCGTGACGGCGAAGATTTCAGCGGTGGTCTTTTAGGTTGTGACACTGGATTTATAGGTGAGCACCAGTTTTTGTGAGGAACCTATTACCTCCATCTTCAGGTCTGAAGAGGTAGGCAGTATGTTCCTCTGAGATGTTGGTGTCTGTCTACAAGTCGACGCAGCATCACAATCCGGAAGACCACCTTCACTATCGGGAGAGCCACAGATCTCATACCGAAAACTCTTTTCGTAAATAATTTTGTGGCTCGAACGATATGTGTAGCATAGGTTTCCCAATGAAGAGACGTCCTTCTCCGGAACTGTGTTATCCACCGATAACTGGTTTGGATACGTGTTAATATGCTTCCTGCTGCTTCTTGTGCTTATTTCTCATTCTTCATAGTTCATGCTCATGCCATGGCAAAGCGCTTGCCTTCATGTCTTAGAATTAGTGCGCTGCATAGCTTGGCAACACAAAGCACATCGGCTGTAGATCTTAATATTATATGTTTTTTGTTTTTGTTTTCAGATGCCAGTAGTTCATTCTTCTAGTGATGAGGATTTTACGGCTTTGGTCTGGTCTTAGTGCTAATTTATTTTGTGTATTTATTATTTCATATTTTTTGTCCGCCACTGCTGTCCAGTTTTGCATGAAATGGATGATTGTCTATGTTAATCCTTTTCTGTGTAAAAAGTTTGTACTTTCCGGTGTCAAATGCTGCAACAAACTCTGTCAGTGTTCAACGCGAAAAAATGTCCGTTCTTGTCGACTTCAACAGATCATACTACACTTGTAGGTGATATAATGATTATTAAAATCTGTGGACTTGAATAAATTAAGCCATGGTTTGGCAGCAGTCCGCAGCCCGCCGGTTGAGAGACGCTACACGAAACAGCTCAGGGCGGATAGACATTCAATATTCAGATGCTCCCAGGTTCGGTTCTAGTTCAAGCCGTTCCAACTACAATTCGAACAGTCGTTCTATCCATGTGCCCTTGTTCTGTTCAAATAACTTGCAACAAAGCTTAGCGAGAGTTCAGATTCTCACAGCAGCAAGTATGAAGATGATGGAGGCGGTACGCACCCGCGAAACATATAAATTTCTGTGCAACAGCCATTAAGACAAAGATGGCTGTCTTCTGGGTTGTTGCGTCGTGTTGTCTAGTGGAAGTTTACTGACGTTTCGGACGTCCTTGCTGCCTCCATCATCAGGGCGATAATTTCCCTGAAACATTTTAGAGAATTGTTAAATTTTACTTGAACATATGTTTGGGATGTTGTGCTTTTGGTATATGTCGATTGTCTTCTTTAACGTTGTAAAAAAATTTATGCATGGCTTGCATTTTTAGTGCCTGTTATATATATATAAAATCTTGTTAATTTGTACTGCAATGACACACAATTTAAAATTTGATGATGGATGTTAATTCTCCTAGGACATCGATTCCCGTACAGCGATTCAAGAATCGCTTGTGCGTTCACTGCAAACATTTTTTAACGCTGGGGTAGTACCTCGTTCATGACCAGACCCTTAAGTCATGTGTAGATTATCTCTCTCTGAGAAAGCTTGTGCCGTCTCACTTTAGCGATCTTTCTTTACTTTGTGTGCGCTACTTTTTTAGTGTTTTTCATTTTCAAAATTACTGACCGTCAGTACTGAATGTGGGGCCCTAGACTTGTATACTGACTCTGCCCTGTAGTCTGTTGGTCAGCATGGACGTCAAATGTCCGGTGATTCCTAGGGTTTGTCCTGGTTGTTGCCGTTTAAATGCGCATCATCAAATAGTTAAAATGTTTGATATTTTATTTATTATTAATGATTTCTATCAGTGGTTTGCATGTTCTATTAACATTTCCTGCTAGCGTTCGTGCTTAAACGTGATGTAACTCGGATATGAACTTTCTGTAACATGAAGATGGCCGTCTTCCAGGTTGTATCGCCACAAGGTCTGGTAGAAGTTTACCAATGTTACAGAGGTCTTTGCTGCCGCCATCATCAGGGCAGCAAGGACTCTAAAATATTGGTAAACTTCTACCAGACCTTGTGGCGATACAACCTGGAAGACGGCTGTCGTTGTGCTTTCCGCCGCGAAAACCTCGAATCATACTTAATTTAATTGTCAGAAAATCCTGTTAGTGTTGTCATGATTTTTAATAACTTTAATTAAACTGTGGTAATTACTGCTGTTCAGGTGAGCGAAACCATGGCTGCAAGTAACAACGGCCATCTTCCCAATAGTCTTGATGATGGGGAGGACAAACCCATGTTGATTGTTAAGAAGACGGGGGATGGTCCCGGGATCACAGCTTTAATTAACCGACAGCTTCAAGGTACATTCAAATTGTGATTGATCTAATTGATTCATGTGTTAAATCTTGTTATTGTAATACAGGATGTTACAAAAACATGTATACGCGGCAGCAGCTATGGCGGCCGCTTGTCGGTCAGTTGCTCGCCGTTGTCAGCTGTGCCGCGAACCTGACAGTGGTCATTTTGAACGCATACTCTAGACTCACTAAGTCCTGATGCTGACGTATGTAACGGTTTAGTTTATAAAGACGCCTTTATTTCATTCGATGAATGTGTGTATACATCTTTTTGGGATACTCTGTATACGTAATGGAGTTTCATTATTCAGTCAGCTGCATTGGTCCAGAATACAATGCTGACTCTCTTTGCCTCTATTATCGCTATTATAGACGAGTGACAATATATATATATATATATGCAGACATATCAGCCGAGTTGTCATCGGCCAGGAAGTAGCCATTGTGAGTGGGAGCAGTAGGCAGGATCAGGTGGTGACCCATTCTGCGAAAGACGCAGATCACCACTGCATAGCACGGCTATGTCATTCAGTGGCGTCAAGAAGCTAGTTCCTGGCCAATGAAGACCACGTCTGGAAAGTAACTAACTTCAGAATTGCGTAGACCACCTTGAGAATTTTATAGTTGCTCGTTTAGTCAAGAAATTTCCCACTTTTTGTGGAACCCAAAGTTTAATTACCATATTCACAAGAGCCCCCGTAACTCTCTCTTCCACACTCTTATACCCAAATTTTTTTTAATATCCATATTAATGTTGTCGTCCCATATATACCTAGATCTCCTGCTTTCAGATTTTATGGCTAAAATGTTTCCTGTGTTTGTTATCTCTCTGAAACATACAGAAACAAAAATTGCATGTATCACTTCTTCTTCTATGGCTCTCCGGTCCGTATTCGGTCCATGGCCTCCTCAATTCTCCTCTTCCATTCGGTCCTCTGTTAGGTCCGTCTGTCCGAGGCTTTGATCGAGGTCTCGAAACATCTTCCTTTTTACGGTGCAAGGTTGTTAGCCTTGCGAACAACCCCCAACCTGGAGGACCAGGGTACCTGTCTTAGTCTGACCTCTCCCCCTCGACCAATCTGGCTAGGGAGGCCCTACCAGTAGCTCTTGGGGTCACCGAGGTACTCGGCCCCACTACCACGACAAGGCGCGGGTACCATTAAGTGGGGGCATAAATCACTTATGGAGGTTATTTTCAGTGCATGATCTAATCATAATTATGCATTTCTTGATAAAAAATGGAACTGTTTCAGCCTGTCACTCTGTGTTAAATTTTAAATTAAAAAGAAAGAAATGCTTTGTTAACCAGATGATACTTTTCACGACAGGCCATTTTCATAAACGCCTACATTTGGTGTGGGACTCGTTTTTGTAAACATATTCTTTTTCTGTTTAGGAATGAAGTTTTTTTTTGTATATTCTTACTCTGTTTTTATTGAATGAAGGCTTTGTTTTGTTTTGTTTTGTTTTGTTTTCGTTGTACCTGTTTTGTTTCTAGATGAAGCACATATCTGTGAACATGATCCCTTGTTACACACAGGACAAAGACATACACCTCATGGTAATCGAGTTTTAAACATTATCACAACTTCAAGCTATTCATCTAATTCAAGAACAAGTACTGTATAAAATGAATGATAAAACAAAATTTTGAAGGTGAGTTTTTCCTGAATTCTGTGTACAGTAAACCTGTCTAAAAAAATTCTCTAGTACCCCCAGTACAGAGTGGCAACCATTATATAATTACCTCCAAAATACGAAATAAAAGAAATCGCAGCATATCTGCATTCTGGTCTTCTGAATTGTAATGCCACGTGAACTTGTACATAGATAACATCATTTTGGAGAAACGTACCGTTTCAGTCTTTACAACCATGAGAAACTAAAACCCTGAGTGCGTAGTATCCTAAACTTTCCCCACTACTTTATCACAGTTTGATCCATAAATTTTCTTAAGTGCTTTGTTATCAAAGACATGTAATTTATGTTCTGATTTGTGGTTTTCATCGGGGCATGGCTTATGACTCATAGAGGAGATGAAAAATGCGTACGGAGGTTGGTTGGAAAGCTTTAAGGGAAGAAACCACTTGGAAGATGTAGATGGGAGGATAAAGCGGTCCATCCACGTACGAGTCCGGCTCGTGTCGGTTTCCATCGAGCCAAACTCGTTTGTGGGTGGGGTGTCACGAGCCGAGTCTGCTATCCATGTGTGGTGAAATATATCCGAGCCCGGCTCACGAGTCAAGCTCGCCGAGCCAGACTCGTACGTGGATGGGCCGCTTAATATTGAAATGGATCTAAAAGAAATTGGGTGGGGAGATGTGGATTAGATTCATTTGGCTCATGATAAGGACTTTTCATAGGCTCTTATTAATATGGTAATAAATCTTCCAAGACCCATTAAAGGCAGGTAATTTCTTGACAAGCTGATAGACTATCAGCTTGTCAAGAACAACTGTGCTCCATTATGTTATTTACTTAATTTTGAAGTAGTTTTGTTCTTCCTACAGAGAAAAAGTCCGCTGAACAATAGCGTGTAGTGTCCCATTTGATAATAGTATTAATTGCGACGTAATTGTCTTCAGCGCGGCAGGAAAGATCTCAGGTTCTCACGGTGATGTGTGTGAAGATGGCTCTTTTATGGGATGTTTTGCTGTGTAGTCTGATAAATACTGACTGATGCTTCGTAGTGCCCTGATAATGGAGGCAATAAGCGTCTCTGAAACATCATTTAGTATGTACCAGACTACACAAAGCTTTCCAAAAGACAATCATCTTCATCTGCAGGGAACTTTAGGTTGAAGGTAATTTGGAGAAGTGAAGGAGGTCTTTCGAAAATTATGGGTGGAAGCAGGAATTCCACTCGAGTGTTTTTTTCCCTGGGTTTTTGCATCTGTTTGCTAAACAATAAGGCATGTATTGTTTTGTCTGTGTTTCATGATTTTTTTCTAGTATTTTCTGTGCTTTTAGTCTTTCAAGTGCTTGTATTCCAGGGTATAATTTGAATATCATGGGGAATAAGTTGTGTGTCATTTCTGATCAAAACTGTTTTCAACATTGACTCCTCATCACTTTCAAATGTAAGAAAGTATAAAGTGTAATCTCTTCTAGGACTGTGAATGCTGAATCGTGTAAGATATTGAGCTTTCTTGTCCGTATGCATTTTTAGTACTGTTTCTTTAGGTTTGCTGAAATTGCATTTGCAGGGCTTCTTTTCTTACGGTATGCAATGGTACACGTCATACTGGCACCTGCTTTCATGAAGCACATAAGAGAATAAAAAGTCCAAAAAGTTTATTGTTTTTATGTTTCCGCAGTGGCCGCGCGGTCAGAGGCGTGGGCCTCGTGCCGCTTGGTCGCGGGGACCATGGGTTCGAATCCCACTCAAGCCATGGATGTTTTTCTGTGTTGTGCTGTCCTGCGTACAGGTAGAGGCCTTGCGACGGGCCGATCCCTCGTCCAAGGAGTCCTACCGAATGTCCACAGATCAAGCCAACTAAAAAGTTGGGGACCCGTAAAGGGTACCAGAAAATGAAAATGTTTTGAAAATGTTATATATATATATATAGGAACAGTATTGAAAACCCGCACACCATTACAGTTTGTGTACCAGCACCCTTTTTACTGGAGGAAAGACCGCAAAGTATATGTAATAATTTTTTTCTGGAATTAAGTGTGTGCTGTGTAACATGTTCTTGGATGAAGTCTGAAGGTTTCTGGTGATTTTGCGTTATAATGTTGTTGTTTTTTAAACCTTGTTTGTCGTGTAAATTTAAAATAAAATCGCGGTGTTTCGGAAGCTGAATTCTGAGTCTACCTCGACCGTGGGTGCCAACAGTCAAGGCTCCTGTCCTCTCTCTTTTTACCCGAAGACGAGCGCATAATCCGGCTTCTGAAACGTGATTTTATTTGTAATTTAGACAATGGGCAAAGTCCAAAAAACTGTTTTACAGATGTTCTTAGATGTTTTTGTAATTAATAAATAGTTTGTATGTTGATGCCATGTTAGGGTATCACATGAAAATCGGACTTCTCTTCTCTTTGCCTAGCTATGCCTAGGATTAGGTACTATTATTGTGGTAAGTTTTGTCTGTGGATTTCTTGTATGAGCATGCTAGGTGCTGACAAGTATTTAACCTAAGATTTTCAGCTAGAAATGTCTGTAACATTTTATTGTTTCTGTTACTTTTGTAGTTACCCATTTATTTAACGCACACCTTTATTTTACTGGGTTTAAAGCTGGGTTTGCACTGTCAGATGTTTAATGTCATTAGATGAACAATTCAAATTTGTCACCTTGCACAAATAGTATGTCACTGTTCTGGTACAATCCAAGAGCATCCATGGGTGTTATTACTAAGATTATTCTCATCTGGTTTCCATAACTGTAAATGCCTCATCACTGAAACGTCTTGTGACTAATGCTTGGAGGCTGGTTTTTCTATTGCATGTAGCTCGTGTGTCTGTCAAAAGATGGCATAACCGTTTACAGTACATGATTTTCAACACTTCTTGCCTCTTGGTCACAGGTCTGTTTCATGTTCAATTTTTACAAAATAGTCTAGTGTTTCTTGCATGGACTGTAGCACTGGTTTAGCAGCTGTTATATTTTTTTAACAATCTGTGTGTCTTTTTTTAGTTCTGTTCTCTTTTTTATGGTTTTTATATTTTTAAGTGTGTTAATTACTGTCTATAATTTAACATGACTAATAGCAGTATGATTATGAATGGTGACTCAGTATAGACCATTGTAGAAGAAATCATTTGAGTTTGCTGTAATTCTGTGAGATTTGAGGTTCTCACGACGGTGAAGATGTCAATGTTGCTGTTGTGACGCTTTGTGGACTTGTAGGTCAATACCATTATTCTGCCCTGAAGATGGAGACAGTATGTTTCTCTGAAACACTGTTATCTGCCTATGAGTCCATGCAGCAGCACAACCCATAAGAATGACGAGGATATTTTTATTCTGATTTTGAAGTGTAGCCATCTACTTTTTCCATTAAAGTGACTAACACAAATGGCAGTGGCCGAGTTTCGGACACTTGCGCATCTGCTGTCAGTTGCCCTGGTGAGCTAATGACCTTCAGAGACTTAGTATATAAAATATTTTGTTACTTCAGGTGTGAAACAGACAACATTTGTATATGCTCCTTTCTCTCTCTTTACCAGCCACCGTCATTCGTGTTGGTCACTTTGATATTCTGACAGATCAGTCTTAATGTTAATCTAATTTTCATTCTTGAGTTATGAAACTGTCTTCCTATTTCATGAGATTTCAAAGAACCATCTTCAGTATGAACTTTATTCTCTAATTAGTGGGTGGTGGCCAGTAGAGCAGTAGGTTGGAATGTATCTCGTTCTCAGGGCTACTTTACGTCTGAATAGAGACTATGACATAACAGTGAAAAATGTTTTACGAAAGCCATTTTACCTGTAATGAGTGTAGTGTGTGATGGCTAAGTATTTTCTTCATATTGGCCTGTTGCTCCAGATATATTATATTTGTTTACGCTTATAACGTACTATTTTGTTGAAGCTGTCATGCCAGTAGATCAGGTGTTCAGCTGTTAGTGACAAGAGTAATAGTAAACTACCAGATTTAAGTTTTGTACCTAACATGGAATTTAATTTTCTCTGCATTAACTGAAAAAATTAATTCCCTGAATGGTTTCTGTGTGTGTATTGATTGAAACTATATTAAAATGAGCAATTATCACTTCTTTTCAGATCCTTTGCACTTCATCCATCAGAAATTATCCTGTAATCTGACTTATTCTTATTTTTGAGGTCATACCTGGTCAGAATGCCATACGAACGCAGGTCCGATTCTCAACGGTTACAGAACTATGGATAAAAATTAAATTTGATTTCAGTGGCACAAAAGGTGATGACAGATGTACTTCTACTGTGACGGGGCACCCACATTTCAATTACAAGTGACAGAGTACATGAATTAGCAGTTCCCTGATTGATGGATTGGTTGTGGTGGTCTGCAGAATTGGCCACTGCAGTCACCAGATCTCATTCCCCTAGTTACACGAAAAACAGTGTGTTAGCACAAAATAAACAAAAGAGAAGACGTACATCATTGAATTTTCAGTGATGGAATTTGCTCGAATGACCGTGATGTTCTGTATAAGGTTCATATCATCTTGAATTTTAAATATTCGTGGTTCCGTAAATGATGAGAATTGAACCTTTGTTAACATTACATTTCTAATTACAAATTACATCGCTCCACAACCCACACTCCACCATGAGAACCTAAAATTTCAGATACAGGCACTGTTCTAGGCAAAGATACACAAAAAATCTAAGATTTTTAATTAAAATGTATAATACTTAAAATTGGTTGGTCTGTATGTAGCAGGACAACACCTTATTTATGTAACACAAAACTTAAAAGAAAATGGTACCATCATACAAGTGTGAGAATAGTAACATTTAAATAAACAGCGGATAACTACATCATGACAACAAAACAGACCAAGTCGTCGGTACAAATCGTTGGACTTCTAGCCTTCTTCCCAAGTACTAAAGTAATATTCTTCTTATAAAAACAAATTATAGCAGTCACGTAAATTGTACGTTCAAGAATTTATCCGAACTTTTGCAAGATATTGCTGCTGCTTACTTGCCTCGCCCCCACATTTGAGTACTGGCACCATTGTTTCTTAAAAATCAGTTTATTTGTTTGTGAAGGTTATGAGTGGTGTTGGTATGGTACGAGATGTCTGGTGTTTGACGCAGTTTACTCTTCATTGTTACAGCAGCTGATCCAAATGCCTGGCGTCTTGGACGAATAGAAGAAGGCGACCATGAAACGCCAGTATGAAACGAGAGTTTAATACCCGTAACTTTCAATGATGTGTGAAACACGTGGACCACTGAGTGTTCGTGAATGTGTGCCTGTGCGTATGTGTGTGTGTTAGAACCGAGACAATCTACGTAAAAACTAAATTTGAATATAATACTCAAGGTGACTATTCTTCATCTCTTCCATACATCACATTCGTTACAGAAGTCCACATTTACTTATTATCATTTTCATATTACGTTAATAATGTTTCTAAATACGTTTTATTTTTGTTTGCACGCTCTGTTTAAAAATGATGGTATTAAATGTTTAAACACTGCATGGGAGATTATATGGGATTGGGAAGATGCATATTTCTGCCCCCCCTTAACTTGTTTGCATGTCGTGCGTTATTTTCAAGATACTCGTGTCATGTCAGAGCTGGTTGTACTACGATTTGATGAAGTACCAACATTACATTTAGCCATAAGAATGCTTTGAAAGGATACTTTATTTTATTTAGTTTGTACTCTTGGTTGTTTACAATCTCTTAATCATCCCATTCAGTCCTGTAGGTGAAGCAACTAGATTATGACACCGACCACTGGCCTGTGGTGCTTACACTTACCTCAAGGCATTTACCTTCATTCCCTCTATACACCTTAGCCTTTATCAGCCGTGTGCCATGGCTTAGTGTTAGTCTGGCCAGCAGAACAATAATACTGGGGTTTGAATTCCCTAATCCTGTACGATAAAAGTTAATGATGTAGTATTCAAGACACAGGATAAATGTTACCTTTAATTCAGATTGAATTTTGGATTTACATAAAATATAGGCTGCATATTTAAAAATTTTGACAATGTTAAGAAATTGATATTGAAATGCCTTATCTTTCATCAAACAAGTACGGCCAGCTCGTAACACGCGAAAAAGGCGATCACAGTTTTATATTAATAGAAAATTAATGTTGTGAAATGATTTCTGTGTAATTGAAGTCTCAGCATGTCTGCTGAAGTGAGGATTATAATTTGTGTGATTTGTAATTGGTGAAACTGACACTGCTGACGTCGGCTAGTTTTGGTTGAGCTACAAAGTGTGTAACAGATTGTTGAGATATTTATTGTTTGTGTTTGTTTTGCTTATGGAGCTAATGTAATACGTTTAACATGGACCTGTGAACTATGGGGTTGAAGTATGTTGCTAGTAGCTGTTCGCAATCAACCCCATGATTGATTAGTAGGATTGTTGACAAGTACATACTATCAAATGTTGATTAGTTTTTTTGCGAAGTACATCTGTAGTAGCTAGACTTGTGAATGGGTAGCTAAAAACAGAAGAAAAGTATGGGGTAGACGTTAAAACTGGCGTAATTCCCGCTGGTTTCCGATTTATCACGTTATTCCTCTTCAAGACGTGAACAGGCAGCTGGTAATGAATCGGAATGTGGTTAGTGAACGTTGCGATATGCACAGGTACGATAGTGATGGATGTAGTTTTGCTGAAAACAACCAACAGATCTGAGAAAACTGAACTGAAAGTTAAGTGAAAATTCCTAAGTCGATGTAAAATTCATGTTTTTTGTTGTGGTTTGGTTTATCTCGTTACATATAAAAATACCCCTACTGACAGTGTAACTGTTAGTTTAATTGCTGTATTTTTAAGTCAAATAGTGAAATGTGTTTTGGGTCTTCAGTGCATAACTTTGTCCAGTTACAATTTAGTGCAGGGTACAGGAACAAGTGGACAGAGTTGCTAACACAAAGAATAGTTTTTAATTTAAAAATTTACTTATTGCAGCCTTCTTGAACCCTTTAAAACTGAGTGGTAACTGCATTTACCAGCCTGTTTAACAATCTGTAACTGAGCATTTTGCCCACGGACTATTTGTGTGTTTCGTATGATTCTCAGAATTATCATCAGTGATTATTTCTGTAAGCAGCGTTCACCAGTTGATCTTTGTAGTGGACATGAAATGTGTTTTTTTTTTCAAGGTAGAAACTTAATTTTTTAAATATTATTTAGATGAGCTCCAGCCTCAGTGTGTTACAGGTTTAATAAATTGTGACATCCCTAATCATCTCTCATGACAGGACCAAGGTTCAGTTCATGGATCTGTAATACACAGCTGCTGTATCCATTTTATGCACATGTATTCTGCATACAGTCATTTTTAATAATTATTATTTATATGTAGCGAAGGATGTATTTCCTGTCAAAACTAGTCAGAGAATGAGGTGGAATTTGTAACTAGTTAACTTGTAGCCTTTCATTTCCATTTTTGTTATGTTGCCCTATTTCAGAAAAAAAAACACTAGACTCCTGTGGTCCTATAATTGCTTTCATGTACACTGGTCTGGGGGTATGACACTAGCTACTAGCCTCAACTTTTATCGTATAGAAATAGATAATTTAAATTCCCGTATTATAGGGCTGCCTGACAGACTTTCATTTTGGGGGTTTAATGGTTTAGCAATATGCTGCAGTGAAGCACGGTCAGCTGGACCACACAGAGGACACGACATGTTGCTGATAAAGGTTAAGCAAATTTAGGGCACTTATGAAACAACGTGGTCATGTGATAAAATGATGATGACAAGATGAAAACTTTGGCATAGGTGGTAGGTAATATTATTAAAGTGGGATGAGGATTGGATTAATTTTGCTGAGGATAGGGACCTGTTCCAGATTCTTGTGAAGACAGTTTTTAAGTTTCAGTAATAGCTCTGGTCATGTTCGGTGTCTTCCAAAATTCACGGACATCCCACAGCCATAAGTCAGTGATCACAGGGCAGTCAAATGTTTTTTTCATAGAGGGGAATAATGTTTAACATTGTTTATAAAATTTAGTGAAAGTTGGAAAACAAAATAGATACAAAATAAGTAATGGTTCCAGTAAACATATCCATTATATTATATCCTTTCGGATGGTAGATATAATTTAGATACTAATGAAGGCAAGTTTTGTTAGATTGATATGTTTATGTAAGGTATTATGCAAGGTGCCTTGAATATTGAGCTGTTACGTATGGAAGGCGGCAGTTATTGTTGAAATAATGTATAGGTGTACTCATTGGTCAAATTGGGATATATCATTACGTTGCATGTAGTTTGAAAATGTAAATTTATGATAAACAATGTTACATGATGGCAGCTAAAATTATAAACTAAACACTTGTTAATTTCTTTCTAAACCATTCAGTGTCAACTCTGTGTACACATTTGGGTGATGTATAGTGTTTGTTTTCATTCTGCCATCTGTCGTGCAACCAATTATTTCTCTTTGCAGTTGCTCTCCTCTGTGTAGCTGTGATGAACAAGAGCTTATCAGCAAATGGTCTATTTACTTTTGTCATGACTATACAGGAATGTGATCTATTGGATTATAACACTGAAAAGGTTAAGACTGAGTGTATTAATGGAAGGAAGTCTGCTTAAAGAAGTTAAATTCCAGCCAGAACAAAATTATTCAGTCAATAACAATCTTGTGTTGCATGTTGACGACGTTGAAGCAGTGGTCAGGAGGAATTGTCACTACATAATTTCAGAAAACTGGGTCATGGCAGTATAACCATTGCATCTGGTGTGGAGGAAACACCATTACTGGTGTACAGGTTAGATTAATTTTAAATGTAGTTACATTTTGTTTTTTAAGAATGAGTTAATGTATTTACAGTAATGAATAGCTGGTGCAGCTGAACGGACTGTACATCCACCAGTCAAAGAATCAATCTTTCAAAGAAACTGTTTATTTTGTGCTAAAAAATAGTCTGAATGGTTTCCTCAGTTATAAATGTTATTCTGTAACTATTTTTATTTATATTTGTTTATGAAATGCTCAGAAGTCATCACAGGACACAGGGGAATGTTTAATCAGACTTCGTGTGAGTGAAGGAGTATAACTTTTTGGCAATTTGTTATTTCTTGACAAATATCCATTTTTACAAATAATCTTAAAAGTGAATCTCATTCTAAGAAGCAGTTTGTTACATATTTCTGATTGTAAATCCCACGGATCAGTCTGTCTTCTGTTCTGTTGTATTTGAGCGTTGCTGTCAAGAACTGCGTAAGTATGAAATGAAGGAAGAAATTAAGAATGCTTTACTTGCCTAGTTTAGTTGTGTAGTATAGATGCTATTGATACCATTCTCATTTTGAACAAAGCCAGCATGGAAGCGCAAAAAGGAGAAATATAATATGATTACATTTTAAATTCATGTACGTAATGCCACGAACATTAGAGAGTTATCATAGATCATTTGAATATTATCCTCCTGTCAATATCTTGGTCTTGCGGGCATGGTCCATCTGTGAGGTTTCCAAACTGAAATCTGGTGTGTGTTTCCTGTACTTGCGTTAGCACATTTGTGACTCTTGAATTTAAAAGTCTGACAGTACGGTAACGAAGACAGGAAAGAAATATATGACGTTGCAAACCATGCTGGTTTATAAAAATTTTCTGAGTAATGCTACAGATATTCTTCTGGGTTTTAACCTGTTCACTGCTTGCATGAGTGTGATCCGACATGCTAGGTGCATATGTTGACATGTCATGTTCCTTTATTGCAGTTTTACACAGTTCAGCGGAAGTCTCTGCCTTCTGTAATAACTACTACAAAACTGTGTAGTTGCGGATAATAGATTGCTTCACTAACCACACACAAGCTGTTCTAATGATTTCAGTAGACATGTGGACATATCATTCTTAAATGTGACGATGTTCTCTCTCTCTCTGAAAAGATGAGAAAAATAATTTTATTGTAGTACTGATGGGAACAAAACTGTGAAGGAACTTGGTCTTCATTTTGATACATTTTTATGTAGCATTCATTAACCACTTCAGCTCCTAGGCCAGCATTGAATGGGTTAATATTGGTTTTAATGCCAGTATTTTTTGTTTAATGTGGCGTAAGTTTGTTAATATACGCTGGAATAATTTATAAGACCCTAACTGAACATGCTGTCTTTGTGTAACTCCTTTATTCAGTGTTTAAATAGTCATGCGTGTTGTATGTTCAGATACAATATGGCCCCCAATTTGATCACTTATCATATATAGATTGGTATTTATAAACACTGATATTTGTTAACTGTTGTTCTTGTTGGATATTTTGTATCCTGATCTTGAATCAAACCTCAAGCCTCTTTGACCTCAAGTTTTGTCCAGATATATCGCAGTATCCTTTAATCCATTCAGTTTTCCGTACAAAACTACATATTCACATTCAGTCATAAATGCAAATATAATGTAGAAAAAAGAAGGCTACATACACTGTTTTCAAATATTAGGAAAAGCAAAAGTAGTAAGTGGTTTGTATAGAGGTAAGACGTCGGATCAAAACATACAGAAAATGATCTGCAAACATTTCACTTACAGGGATTGGAAGTTAATCCCCTTCAGCACTAAGACACTTCTGCCATTCTTGCCAGTGCTGGATGCACCTCTCAGACTCAATTTAAGTTTAAGGAATGGGGCATAGTCACAGGGAGCCATATGTGGTGTGCAGGAAGGCAGTCTGTTTTGAGGAATATTGCTTTTACCCAAAGACTTAACCACATGAGCTGGACCAAGCGTACAGGTGCATTATCATGGTTAATGTCACTTACTGACGTCCCACATATGTGGCTGTTTATTATTATACACTGCGTAACTGAGATGTAATTACTTTTAAATGGAAATGACAGTTAGTAGTCTGACCATATGCAGCGTGTTCATTGTACAAAAAAATATAGCTCCTACTCATTTTTAACCTCAGCACTAGGTGGGGTAAGTGGTCAGCATCATGCCCTGGCTGCACTTTACCCCCGGGAAAAGACCCCAACAGAGTAAAAATCCTCTTCCCCTGCTGGGGGTCAAGCACCAGTCATCCAGTTGGTCACTGTACTGACTGGGCTACCTCAGCTTGCCTTCATTATGTACAGCATCATCGTAATCAGAGGAAAAAATCAGCGTATCTGTGGGGGGGTTTCCAGTGTTTTGGTTGGTGCTGGTCATTATTTCAGACTTATGTCTCATTTGTTACGAGACTTTCAAGAGACATTAAAAATATTACCAGGTAACCTGGTTTCTAGGATTTGTTGAGCCCAAGTGAAGGACCTGTTTCTTTCTGCTGAGAAAGCTGTGATTTTGCTGTATTTAGGACACCAGCCTTAGTGGGCTGGTTTGCTGTAATTTTGTATTTCTTAGTTGTGTAGATATCTTACCCTTTGCCTTAAAAATATTTACATTGGCATGGCTTATTCATTCTTCTGAGCAGATCATGTCGGCTATTCCTTGTAGTGTCCATAACCTGTATTTTTCACTTAATATTGCTAGTATGACAATGCAGACGTGCGAGGTGGGTGGTACTTGTAGAGTCCATAAGACTATGTGAAGTTGTATGAAATATATTTCTCATGCCACTAAAATAATTACATGAAGTTCATTTCAAGGTATGGTCTGAATTGCTGAGTTGTGAATAAGCAGTATAATTTAATTGTGTCAATATACAATTAAATGACATTCTACAGACAGTCATCAATACTTATCACCCAGAAAGGTTATTGAATTCAGCTGCCATGAAAACTTCAGACTTACATAAATAAATCCACTTCAGACCCACTACCCAGTGGCAACTAATTTCACATGGAATGGCCTATAGTAAGATAACAGCCAGTATAAAAATTTTCAGAATGGAAATCCTACCGATTTAACCCCTTAAATATTTACAGCATATGGAATAGAGCCTTCAGATTAGAAGTAGAGGAGTCGATATTCTCAGTGGCACCTCAGTAAAAAACAATAAAATTTCCAACATCAATCTGCAGGGATACAGCTAAAATGGGATATTCTATCATGATGACTAGATAATGATCAGATTTCAGGTTCTCAAAGCAGTGAGTATGAACATGTCTTCTGGGATGCTGTGCCCCATTTCCTCTGGTAAACACCCTAGTGATGACAGCAGTAAATCTGAAACATCTACCAGGCTGCACGGCTCAACATCCCAGAAGTCGGACATCTTCAATTTACATATAATATTTATACATTGGAATCACAATTTAATATTCTACATTTTACGTGTTTTATTTCATTCATTGTATAACTTCTATGGTTCCAGCCCCCATTAGATCAATGTCACACTTTCTTAATTGCAAGAATTCTTTGGTTTAGCATTCAAACAAATTATCTATTGTCAGAGAGAGAAAAAAATTTCCATTAGGATTTACTGCGTGTTTGTCTCCCACGGGAAGGAAATTTATGCCTGCATGATAGTCTCATGTTGCTGTACAAAATCAAAGTTCATAAATAATGAAGAATATTCACAGACAAGACAGCAATCAATATAAAAAAAGTCACATCTCAAAATACAAGATTAAATATTTCCTAATTGCAGGCCTTAAACACATATAATTAGTGTATGAAATTATGTCACAAGTAACACTACAAACATTTGTGTATTCCAATTTCTTGTAAACATGTCTGACAACATAGAACTCTGCACAATCTACAGAATGATAATTCTAAACATAAACATCAGGCATGTAGTTCAGGTTTGTATTACAATCTTTCACCTTAAGACTAAAGGATACACCACCCGTGAAATAAAAATAAGTACGTACAGTGCTGACAAGGAAAATTTACAATCAGGCACTTCACAGGCATCATCTTATTTTCTTTGCATCTGTTTTATCAAATTAATTCAATTTAGTTATGCTGTAGGCAATGAAACTAACAAGTAAACTAAACCATCAGAGACTTATACTTACAAACTGGTGTCGACAACGCAAAAGTTTATATTTTTTAACTCTTTGGGGTCCATCAGTAAACTGGATAAGAGCCTATAAAGACTGCTCAGTTCCAGACAAAAAGACAATGTCCAGGGAACGACATTACATAATGATACCAGGATCACTGTCTCAAACCTTTAGAAATGCATTACAGAATCAGTATACGCTCATTTATAAATCTCGAACAGCACAAAATCTGGTTAACAAAGAAACAGTAATATTACCTTGTACTAAGACTCTCTTGGGTGATCAGCCACGTCAGAGGCAAGTGGTTTCTAAGACAATCTTCCAACCACTGGTTATGTAGTCATCTTGATATGGCTGACCCCCCCCAAGAGGATTTTAATGCATTTATTTGCCATGTAAACTTCAAATCTTCCAAATTATATTGTAGGCATAATTCAGCTTCAGACATTCATTCATCAGTGTCCAGGGAAAATCCTTAAATCATTATAAAAATTTTCTCTTTCATTTTTCTATCACACCTTTAGAGACAGGATCAAAATTTTATTAACATTTACTAATTTCATATTTATTTAAATTAACTTGACTGACAGGTAAAGAATGTTATAAATTTATATTGACTTCGAAATTAATTAATTCTGTTCTTATCCTACGTCATATGTAGTGTGACAGGGAATAAATATATAAAAAGATGGACAGTAAAGGGTTAAATAAAGTACACTAAACTTCTTTCCTTTTTTTTGTGTTTACTTCAGCATTTTCATGGCCAGATAATTTTTGTCTTGTTTTTTTTGACTTCTAAGTCCTTGCCAGTTGTGCATGCAGAGAGTGGATTCTGAAACAAACGATATCATATTACTTAGCTTTCCTATATATCTCTTTCAATAAATGTACTTATTTTAGTAGACTGATTAGTTGAACATTTTGTACAAAATTTGAAAATTAATCCATATCCCGTTATGTCATGCAGTGAGAAAGGGAGGTACAGACCAAACGTCCCTCATCCACAACATATCGCAGTGTCACAACGATGTGTTGCTTGGGCTCGTTATACTAATAATCACTGCAATTATGACTGATACTAATGTGCATAGATCATGAGACAATGTGTGTAAATATCTTGACAAAATGACAATTCTGGATTATCATTTTCTTTTAGATTATTAATGTTTCATATCCCCTCCATCTTGCAGATACATATAATTCTGGATTATCTGTGTCTTCAGTTTATTTGTGTTTCACGTGTCCAAATAATCAAAGTGCTCTGTGTATGTGTTACAATTTCAGAGAAGAGAGGTTATAACAACATATATATTCTACCTCGGAACTTGAAGTGCTGTGTGACCGTTTCAGTTTAACCTTCCTGGATCCAGACACCTTTTCAGAGCTACAAGATTCACATCCTAGCAATTTAGATTGGTCTACTGGTACATCCGCGGTGCTTTCGTCTGTCGGCTTCTGCTTTATGCTCTGCGTGTCTCCCTTTTCTTCTTTCTCCTTTTCTTTGCGCCTGTCATTAATGATAATCCTATCAAGAATACCCCCATTAATATCTGATTTCTCAAATTTTTTCAGCCTTTTTATTTGGATGCTTTCCAAGTCATCAGATCTTGAAGAGCTAGACCTAAGCTTTATTTTTTTGTGTTCAAAATTGATTGTATCTGGGGGTGGCTTCAGTCGGACCCCAGTTCCGTGCAAACCATGCGATGTTGAAGCTTCACTGAAGCCACATGTAATACTGGACCTGTAAAAAAGAGTTTGTAGCAATCATGATACGTGTGGAGCTTTACAAATCATTTTTGGAAAGATTACCAATGAAACTGAGATGAATAATGCAGGCCACTACTCCAATCCTCTGTATTTCATTTGTAAGTTATTTAATAAGAATGGGTTTATGTATAATGTTCTTGACATGCCCCATAAAATTCTGAAATAGTACATTAAAATTTGCAACTATCTATTCCTTCAACGTCCTTTTCCATTTCATCACTCGTATTCTTCCTAACTGATGTGTGACTTCAGCATTTGATTAAAGAAACTGAAAGCGGAAAAGGTTGAGATCAACACGAACATAGCTCAGGATGATAAGTAATAAAAAAGTATGTCAGTAGAACAGTAAAACATATAGTTTATACTTTTTTCCTGAATCGTCTGTCTTTTGACTGTTTATCTCTTGCTTTCTCCTCAATCTTGTTAGAAGTTTTCCTCTTCGGTTGTCTTTGTATTCCCGCTGTGGTAGAGGGACAGCTACTTGATAAAATATTTTCACTAGCTGTGCCTTGCTCAGGAAATTCAAGTTCTGTAGCTTCACACATCTCTGTGAACATTGACAAAAACTATAAAATTGCTGGCACTAACAACAGAAAATTATGAATATTTGGGTGTATACCAACTGCAGTCAAGACAATCCACCAGAGTAGAAACTAACAGCTTTCTTCCTCTGATATAAGATAATTCTGAGTTATGTGCCTTAATAACATGGTACTCACACTGACATTACCCAAACTTTCACTGTTTAAGTACAGCAGGAAAAATAACATAATACCTAACTAATAAAATTATTCTTGTGTTAAAATTAACTTCATAAGAAAATTGTTGCATTATCATCACATACCTCCGAATAATTACAACAGTTTTACTCTGCTGCGAGAGCACAGGCATCGAAAGAATGATAGTTGTTATGTTACATAACCAAACTTCACATGCTGTAGAGATTAACTACAATATTTAAGATCATGACACTGGACACACATATATACACAGATAACCTTTTGATATACCTTTTACAACAATCTTTCCTTCCATTTCTGTACCCGACAGATGGTGAACCGGATTCTGTTTCGAAAAGTGACCAGGAACCATGGCATACTTAAATATGAAGCAAAATGCTGTTATACAAACTTAATTTCGGTTGTGTAGTTATCGACTTATTTTATACTTACTGATTCTAGTATTTGTTTTAATGCTGTTTCATTCAATAATTCTGGCTGCAATAAGTAGAAGTCATTAGATTCTTTAACGCTTGACGCCATGTGCACTTTCTGTTACCGGCGGGCGCATAGTATATGTCAATTCTTTATCAGCTGTTTTAACTCATAACCCCATACTCAAATACCACAGTGTTGTTATCCATGATGTTTTGCTTACTTGTGTGATCTTACTTTTGTGCTGACATCTATTGCAAAACTATATTATAGAATATATCGCGCGCATAATCCGATGGACAGAACGGACATTGTAAAGAAAAGTGTGACATTGGTGTAGAATGGCAGCGGCAAAAATTACGTTTTCGTGAACAAATTTTCTTTCTGATGAGAATGTGTAAGAATTTATGGGCATGTTTAAGATATGTTTTATTACCGTTTGTTATTATAATTTTAACATGATAAGCAGAAGGAACATGAATATCATTTATGGAAGTTAGTAATGGTCAAAGTGAAAGTGACAACGGTCACCACTGTATCTTTACATAAAACAATATCTTTGTATGTATTTGAATAGAGAATTAGATTTCGAATGTAGAAGACTTAGTTCTAATGTGAATGTCATTAATGTTGTAGTGTTATATGTCCGCCAGCTATTTTAAAGTGGCGATAACAGTAACCGCCCATTCAGGTGGTAAAATTTATTTTGAATAGGTGAATACTTCATGTGGAATGGCACTAAGTTTTTATGTCATTCGCAGTTTATTCGAATTTTTATTTGTAGTTGAATTGAACGTCCAAAGCTTGTCTTGACACCGGCCAAGAAAGTAATAACATTCAGCCTGTTAAAACTGAAAGCTGATCTGGATATGATGAAATGTCTGATGAAGTAATGAAAATCTACAGGTGATGGTGGACCAGCCCTTTTCCGAACCTCGTGGTCAAAGAACAGCCACCAGCCCCTTCCACAGAATCACTGCAAATCCTTTCCCATCAAACATGATCACCAGAAACTCTCTTGTCACCTTTCCTCAACCACATGCCCCTATGCTTCACTAGCCAGCACCATAATATCTGTTTGGCCATTCACTGCATGCCCTATGTAAGGTCTCCAGAATTCTCTCTGCTGCATGGCCACTTTGAAAATGGCAACTGCAGATTTTAGTGAAATGTTGGTTAGCTCTAAACATTTTATGTGGCTTACATCGAAAAATTAAAGTTGTACATTGTTTAGAATGTGTTAGTCATAGAATTTTTCTGGCTAAATTAGCTTATTATGGATTAGAGGGAAATAATGATAAATGGATAACATCTGTAATTCTTCTTTGGCAAGTCCAAATATTGTCCTGGTATGTGACACCCAGAATCAGAGTTCTTCCTGTAAAATAGGAGACCAGATCACACATAATATTCTGAAATGATAATAAGAGGAAATGCACACAACCTAATATGTCCATCATGTTACAACAGAATGGAATAGAATATAATTTATTTACATTCCATAGCTCCTTCATGGGCCAAAGTCAAGGATGTAGAGCATATCATAATACAAATACTAATGTGTGTAATTTACCTGCATTTTGTGCCTTAGGTTAGGCTAACTTTGGTTATGTTAGCTTTAAACTAGCCAAGCCATAGGTAGAATGAAAGTTTGTCCTGATGCTACTGTGAACTTTGGTCACTTGTTAATATGT